ACAAATTTTTTAAATAGGTTTCTTTGGCCCCCAGTTTCAATCCCCCCCCCCCCCCCCCCCCCCCCAAAATACAAGTACATGTGCCGAAAAGCCAGCGGTGTTCCTTTCCCGCCTTTACTCAGACATCGTTCCTTCACTTCAACCTTGGCGGATATCCTCATCCCTCCAATATGCCAGCAATTAGGTTGGACCAGATCATGTACCAGCGGGCGAAATCGTGACAGGTATTGGGACCTTCCAACCTCCAACGATTAGTCGGCAAGCCTTTGCCGCTTCGCCTGCCGGTCATCGTCGGCAATCTCGCTCTCCTCAAGTTCATCAGCACTACGCTTCACCTTCACATCGACGTCGTCCTTGCCAAGCCCAACGAGTTTCTCAATGAATCCCTTGCTCAGTTCAGAGACTTCGGCCTCCAGCATCTTGATCGTTTGTGCTTCAACATCTCGAAGGGTCGCAAAGCCAAAATGAGCGTTTTCCTGTTGTCCAAGCAAGAGGATAGTTCGGTTTCTCATCTGATCCATAACGGATGTAGACATTGCCATCATCCCGTCGCGGAACATATCTCGAAGAATCGGGCGCAGGTTCTTCGCAAAGCCTGTAGAGAGGACTCCAGTGCGGTGCACGCTTTTCTCAGGGCAGCTGGCGCTGATGTCGGATTTCTCGTCGCCATCCGGTATAACAATAGTGGCAGCCTGTGCAGCGACTGAGTTGGTAGATTCCGATTGTCTGTTGCCCTTCTCGGGCTCATCTTTCCGCTCCTTGATCTGACATTCGCTCCTCGCCACTCGAGCAGCAGCACTAGATTGCGCACTTCGAGAAACACTTGGAGCTGATGAGACCTGTTGACTCTTGCTCGTAGGCTGAGTGAATGAGGCAGCGGATGCATCAATTGTCGCAGTGGAGGCCTCGGTGCTCTTCACGCTTCTAACGACTGGCTCTTTTGCGACCTTGGGCTGGTAGGGATTAGATTGACTGGCGTCTTGCGTTGAAGAGCGACCGAAAAGGCTGCGTGGTGGACTTCTCGCCGCTGTCTTGGTTTCGGTAGCATGAGTGGCCTTGGGTTTCTGAGCTTCCTTCGCGGAATTGCCGGAAGCACTGCCGGAAGATTGAGCACTTGGTGGGCCTTGAGTTCCATTTGCAGGACGTCTCGGGGCTGTGGCTTGCTTAACCACGGTTTGTCTCGAACAAACCGAGGCCCCCTCTGAGAGCTTCTGCCCTGCGCTTTCAGAGCTTCCAGTTGGTATTCCTGCTGACGTATCCCTCTCAAGTCTTGGAGAACTGCCGGAACCAAATGCGCCGGAAGCATTCTCTCCATCTTTGCCAGCGTTTCCAAACCCACGACTACCAAGGCGATTCTGGTTCGCCTTCGTGGCATTTCCGAAGAGACCGGGAAAGGCTGTCCGTCCTCCATTGAGTTCCCCAGAGAGTTGGGGTGTCGATGTGCCTCCCGTTACGGTCTGATTCTCAAAGGCCTTCCCAGAGCCGAAAATGCCAGACTTTTCCCCAGCAGACGGCTTCTAGCCAGCTGTTTGAGTGAGAGTGGGCGGGCATGGCTTTCCAAAAGGGTTTGTGTTCGGCGGTGGACAGGGACGGTGAGTCGAGACAGTGTTTGGCGACGCGAAAGAGTTGAGAACAACAGGCTGTGAGGACAGTGTTGATCCAAAGTGCCCTGCTGACTGTGAAGAGAGCGTTGCTTTGGAGCCAGGAAGAGGATTAGACGCGGGTCTGGAAACGGATTTCGGCGACGCGGAGGAGGAATTTGCAAGCTGCGAGGGCTTTATTGCTCTGACCTCAGAGGACCCTTGAGTCTTCTGCTGTTGGGAAATTGGTGTGCCTTGTAGTGCAGGTAGGGCAGATGACGCAAAAGGTGACGGCGTCGAAGTAGACACCCGCGTTCCATGAGATGCGGGCGAGATTCGCCGATCTTGCACCAGGCCATTCGAAGTTGCAGCTTGGACGGAACTGGTTGCCTTTTGCCGCGATGGATCTCCGGCTCCCGAGACTAAGTTCTTTTGTTGAGGATTCATGGGCTGACGCTGAGAGCTCGTGGTAGATTCACACGCCAGGGCCGTCTGCGGAAGAGTCAAGGCCTCCTTTTCGTCCGCGGCGACGGATGCGCGCATAGTAGGTCCGCAAACGATGCTTTTGGCCCTCATATCGTTGCCGATCGCTTGAGAAGACGTGTCCGACTTCGAATTGCTGCCAGCCTGACTTTAATCAACTGCTTCGGACAAGGCATCTCCAGCAGCCGGATAGACGGCTGCCGAGCGAGGACCAAGCACAAGACCAGGACCATCTATGAACCTTAACAGTCCTTTCTCAGCCGCGGGGAGCGAGTTATCACAGCAACGGAGAAAGCTCCAACCGTTTTCCCTCAGGCCTTGCTCAAGGAAGTCGTGGGACTTGCCCTTGTTGACCAGGCGAACAATCTCGCAGTCGACCGCGGATGGCACCTCACTATTTGCAGGGTAGGGTTGTCGGCACCACTTCTCTTTCAGACGTTCCCAAGCGGCAGTGTCGGTGAGACGTGGGAAAGGGTCGGTATCTGCTGAATACACATTGTGTAGCTGCGTGTAGATGTCGTGGCGGGGCTCCGTGGAGATTTCGAAACTTGGGTGAATGTTGGACAGGGCCCATTCCAGCCACTTCCGCCTGGCAACGGCCGGCGTTTGATGCCCAAAATATGGCATGGGGCTGTAAAATGTCAGCGAGGTGTACGAGATGAAGATTCGGGCAAGATGAGGCAGGTTAGACCTGGACATTGTGGCGGCAATGCTGAGCGCGGCAGGAAGATGATTTCAGTGCCAGGTGATTTAGAGATATTTTCTCAATCCAAGTTTTGACGATGAATGGAAGCCTGATGGATCGATCCGTCTACCTCCTAATGCAGGAGGCCGAGGGACGAATCAGTTGCGCGGGTCGCTCACTCGAGATGAGGTGGTGGGAGTTGAAGACGGGAAGTGTAGGTTGACAAAAAATAATAAAAAGGTGGCCGTTTGTGGCAGAGAAGGCGAGGAAAGAAGAACGGGAGGAAGAGGGGTGGGGTGGGAGGATGAAACCAGCACAATGGGCGTGAATTTTAGAAAGAGCACCTTCCATCAGGGAAAGGAATTGGTACAGCAACATTGATCGTGATAAGAGCTCACATACTCAGTGACGACGACGAAACGAAAAACCTTGGCTTACCGGACATGTATGTTTGAAAACAATCCATCATCACCTAGTGTCAATATCCACCTTTACTGCCGCAGATAGACCTACAGCATGTAGAGCAAGAATCGATGATATTCCGTATGTTACAAGGAGTACAATATCTGTACAAAGGTCTATGCCAGACACATTCCTCTCCGCCATTCCCCTCTCGTATTTTCGTGTCTTCATCCCAAGTCGCTTTAGTTCTTGCCCTGGATCCAGTCCCTCTGCACTGGTCGCGGAAGGTGCTCATGTCCAGTGACGGGCAGACCTCTCTTCTCGAGCTCCTCCTGGATGACCTTCCACCTGCCCACCGCCTTCTCCTTGTCAATCGGGGTGATGCGGCGGTGAGACAGCTTGACGTTGGGAAGCTCCGGTAGGCTGCCCTGGGCGTAGATCGCCTCGATGACCTTGGCAGGCTTGGGCGGCTTGACGACGGCCGCGATAAGATGGCCGACCGTCTTCATCTGCGCGAGCTTGGCGTCGTGGATGTAATGGCCCGTAAGCTGGAAGACGCGCTTGTGTAGCTACGGACGTGGGTTAGCATCCTGCTACATTTAACATACGGAAAGCCATGACTTACGGCAAACTTCAGGAGAGGATCCTGGAGGGATATGGCCTTCCACTTGGGGTCCCAAGACTGAACCAGCACCTGCGCCTCGTCCGCAGAAATGGGGATGCGCGTTGCCTCGTGCCCGGAATCCTGATCCACCTGCGTAGTCGTCTCTGCGCGCCCGATACCCTGCAGCATCTGCACAATCGTCTCCGCAGCTTCCTTCTGTGCCTCGGGAACGGCGCCCTCGGCGCCAATGGCCTCGAGACTGATCGCAGTCGCCCTGTTAAAGTCCTCGCGGTCGCCCGGAACCCACTTGCGCTTCAACGCCTCCTTGTCCAGCTGCGACAGCACGAGCGTCTCGACGAGGGCTTGCCTCACCAGCGCCTCGCAGACGGCCCCATCCTCGATCTTGTTCGCGATGCTCCGCGACGAGAAGCCGACGTACTGCTCCGCGGCGGACCAGCGCTGCTCCCACCATCCATCCAGGCCTCCAATCTCCTCGAGTTCGTCAATCGTCTTTGCGGGGACATACCCCTCCGTTTCCAACGACTCCGCTGTCGGGGCAGTAATGGCGCTGTCCTCGTCCTTGGCTTTCCTATTCTTCCTGCCCTTAACTTTTGGCCTCTTCGCTTCCCAGACGGCGATCTCGGCCTGCGCCTCCTCCTGGTCGAGTCGTCTCTTCTCCTCCTTCAGTTCCTGCATCGCCGCGGGGTCGTCGACATTTTTCGGACCGGGAGCCTCGCCGCTCCAGAGCGCGTTGCGTACGCCTTCTCGGCTGCTGAGAGTCGTTGTTGTCGAGAGGGCCCGGCGGGCGGCTATGGGGAGAGTCGCGGAGGCGCAGGTGCACCGCGACGGGGCGGCTGCCAGAAGCGGCTGGCTGAGACGGGGAACTCTGCGCATCGCGGGCGGTTCGGCAGCGGTTCGTGTGAGGAAGTCGAAGGGTTTCCTGGGTTAGGAACACACGATCGAGGGAACTCGGTATCGTCAATTGAACTTTTTTGGATGCTGGGGTCAGGCTGGCGAATCAGAAGGCGGGAAGCTCCAGCCACAGTTGGAACTGCCACGGGCGCCGCCCCCGCCGGGTCCGGGTTGTCTGCCGGCTCCGATGTGGCTCGTACACTAGTCTGCGGACAGCACCAGCCTCATCCTTTCGCGGCGACAACTTCGGTTCGACGATACGTTTGACATTGGCGATGCTCCATTCCAGAACGGCAAAAATGAACCGGTTATCACTCATACTCTTGCTGCTATGCGGGTTCGTCGCTCTCGTTAGCGCAAATTGTACGTCTACCCCAAACCCAGCACCATTTGGATGCCTACTAACACCCCTCCAAGCAGCGCCGACATTCTGCAAATGCACCTGCTTCAAGAATAGCACCATCGTCGCTCTCGGTCCGCAACGCTCCGACGACAAGTCCGAATCCTCTCCGCGAGACATCCCTTCCTCGAACCTCCACCAAGAAGCCAAGCGCGCCGCCTCCTCGTCCTGCTCGCAATGCACAAAGGCCTTCTGTCTATCCAGGGGCATCGACTTCTGCCGCGACGCGACGGAGGAGAACGTCCAGACCATGTGTTTCCAGCGCGACAGCAACAAGGACCGCGTCATCGTCTGGGGGTTCCTGCTCGGCACGACGGGACTGCTGGGGTGGGCGGCGTTCAAGCGCGCGCAGGAGCTGCGGGAGGGCAAGAGGCAGGCCGAGGCGGCGGCGGCGGGGAGGGGACGCGGGGAGTACAGTTCGCTGTCGCCGACGAACTGATTTCGTACGGATGCTTTGGGATTGGCGTTCTGGGGGGCTCAGGGTTCGGGAGCGAGGTCACGGGTACGGTCATGGATACGGTTAAGAAAGGCATTATCCCCGGTCGCGGCATGTTGTTTCACGCAGAGTCGAGTAAATGGAGAATCGCAAGCCACGTTGAGTAAAGCTATCTGTCACCCTAACGTCGCAGACTTGACCGCAAATGCAAGCATCATTACCCCATGCACCATACCCATAAACGCAAAAGGACTTTTCTGTTTTTTTCCTCCCTGGAGCCTGTGAAAGCAAAATAAAAGCAAATGCCATGCATGCGATAGTATGTCCAGCCCCCTAACAATTTTCCCATCCACAAGCTTCGTCATTTTTTCAGCTTACTCCTCCTCGAGGTGAGTGACCTTGTGCGAGTCCTCGTTACCGTTGGCGGCGCCGGCGTTGACCTCGCGGCGGGCGCGGACGGCGGAGGCGAGGTCCTCGAGGACAGAGATGGTCGACTCCCAGTCGATGCAGGCGTCGGTGATGCTGACGCCCTTCTTGAGGGCGGCGGGGCCCTCAGCGGGGACCTTCTGGTTGCCCTCGTTGATGTTGGACTCGATCATGACGCCGATGATGGACTTCTCTCCCTCCCTCAGCTGGTCGCCGACGACGGCGGCCACCTTGGGCTGGTTGCGGTGGTCCTTGTTGGAGTTGCCTGGGTTTGAAATCAGTCTGTGTTCCTCGGTTCATAGGAGATGGGGATGGGTAACTCACCGTGAGAGCAGTCGATCATGATGGCCTGCTTCTGGCCCTTCTTGGTGAGCGTCTCCTTGGCCTTCTGCACGTTCTCCTTGTCAAAGTTGGGGCCCTTGGAACCGCCTCTCAGGATGACGAAGCCGTGCTCGTTGCCCTTGGTGCGGGTGATGGCGGCCAGGCCCTGCTTGGTGACACCCATGAAGTGGTGCTTGGCAGCGGCGGCGCCGATGGCGTCGATGGCGACGCCGAGGTTGCCGTCGGTGCCGTTCTTGAAGCCGACGGGGAAGGACAGGCCGGAGGCGAGCTCGCGGTGGAGCTGGGACTCGGTGGTGCGGGCGCCGATGGCGCCGACGGAGATGAAGTCGGCGAGGAACTGCGGGGAGATGGTGTCGAGCATCTCGGAGGCGATGGGCATGCCGGAGGCGGTCAGGTCGCGGAAGAGGGTGCGGGAGACGCGGAGGCCCTTGTTGATCTTGAAGGTGGAGTCGATGTCCGGGTCGTTGATGAGGCCCTTCCAGCCGACGGTGGTGCGGGGCTTCTCGAGGTAGGCGCGCATGACGACGCAGAGGTCCTGGGAGAGGCGGGCGGCGACGTCCTTGAGGCGGGCGCAGTACTCAAGGGCGGTGGCCGGGTCGTGGATGGAGCAGGGGCCGATGACGACGAGGAGGCGGTCCGACTTGCCCATGATGATGTCGGCGGCCTCGTTGCGGCCCTTGACGACGGTCTGGAGGGCCGTCTCCGTCATGGGGATCTCGGAGGAGAGGAGGGCCGGGGGGATCAGGGGGTCCTGTCCCAGGACTGTCAGGTGTTAGTCATGGTGTTTTTAGTGGTGATGGCAACAATGCTGGTGAGTATCGTGAAGCCATCGTGACGGGATGGTATGAGGATTGTGTATGCGACGGAGCAGAGTCCGATGTCAATGGAAGCACAATCCATTATCTCGGTGAGAGAGAGAGGTGGGGCAGGTGAAGGGCCGGGATGAGGTGAGTGACATCCTGAAGTGGGTTCACCAAAAATCAACACCAAAAAAAAAGTGACTCACTTCTCACGTCGTCGGCCGCGAGGGGCTCATGCTGAAGGTCGAGACCAGGCATTTTTGATGTAATTTTTTGGTGAAAAGGGTATCTAAAAACTATGCGAAAAGTCAATTAGCCATCGTCTCGAACATATTCCCGTCGTAAGCAGGCTTGCCCGCTCGATTGTCGTCTCATCGCGGGGTGCATCGTCAAAAAAGTTGAGAGACCAGCCTTGCCGCCACCCCCGGAAAACCCAGCCCAACGGTGACAGCACGTCAGACGAAGGGAAATCCGGGGTAACGAGACCAATCGGAAGGGAACCAATGGGTTGCGCGCCTGCTTACATTGAGCTTCTGAACGACTGGAAAACAAATAGCCAGACTGAGTGAATCAATCTCTGGGAAAGGGCTCGGCTTTGCGAGGAGGCGCGGAATCGGTTCGCCGTGGACTGCGGAACTGGGTATCGTATCGTGGGATCTGCTGGCTTGAGCCGTCGGTGACCGAGGAGGGAGGATGAATGTTCGTCCACAGGGGCGGTCGGGAAGGGGGAGGGACTGGACTTTTTGGGGAGTCGGAGTGGTTGGGCGGGTATTCTGGTTGTGACTCAGAGAATTGAAGGCGAAAAAGTGGGATGGAGATTCTTTCAAGGATTCGGAATTTTTATTTTTATTTTTTTGTAAGATGCTTTACACTTCTGTGTGGTTTTTGGAGTCTTTTTTTTTTCTTCTTGTGTTCCCGGAGCTCTCTCGGAGGCACTCCCGCCGGCAGTTGGCATGTATCTTTCTGCAGGTTTACGGCTGAGAAGATACCTATTTTTGGAGATTTTGCCAACATGCGGTGTAATTAATGCACTGTTTGCTCAAAGGGCGCCGTTGGTGGTTCCACGTGCGTCCTGTCTTGTCAAGTGTCAATTATTTCTCGTTGAAATTTCAGCCCTTGCGTTGACAAGCTTGTCAATTGTGCCTCTGTGAGTGGGCAGGGTCATGCCGGGCCCCCTTCGACGTCACCGGCTCGAATCGGAAGCGGTCGTCGGACGCAAAGAATGGGGACGTTGGCGAAGTTTTTGGGCATTCCGCTCTCCCGGTGACGCAACGGTGTTCGAGGAGGAGAGTCAGGAAGGCCGATGGCGGGGCAGAAATGGAGGGGCAATTGGGCCACTTTGGCTGCTGAGAATTTTAGTAGGGAAGACCGGTGTCTCTAGTCTTCGTTCCAAGGACGTCTCCAAGAGTCTCAAGGGCAATGCACGATATCAAAAGTCTCGCTGTTATTCAGAGACTGATGCCATTGGCAGTTTTTCATCTCCATCATGCGTGAGGATTTGGCAGTGGCCAGTGAAAAAGACCCGTGTTAATGAGACGCCTCTGATTGGACAATTCGACATTCACACCTTCACACCGTACTCTCACCGGTCTTGACCGAGAATTGAGGGGCCGACACCGGTAATCCAAGGTGAGCCGTTTGGGTGTCTCCGCTCCATGGCCACTACCTAATATCAGCTACCTAATATCAGCGAGAAAACAACTTTCATTGCAGGAATCATGAGCTTCGTTCAAAGGTATCACACATATGCAGACATTTACAACACAGTACACATAACCCCGCGCTCCTTCCCGTGAAGACTGAACCACCAGGTGATAGCCATCGCCAGCGCCAAGTAATCCGTAGAATCGACGTTATCCAACACGAGCAGATTCGGAAACGAATCCGCGCTGCAATACCTCCACAGGCTCGGAAACAGCTTGTTCTTCGCCCGGTACGCGAGGTCCAGAATCGACGGCCCGAACCCCGCCGCCTCCGCGCCCGTCACCTGCGTCAGAGTCCAGCTCGTCTCCACCACCGGCGCCTCCCGCCGCGTCTTGTACCGCGCCAGCTTCTTCCGCTGGTCCTCCGTCATGACCCCGACGTGGTCCGTATTCGAGTAAGCCACCGCCGGCCGCACCGGAAAGGACCGCGATTTGGTGTAAAACCCCTTCCCCTCGTACGCCGCGGGGATGCGGATGTGCCGCCCCGCCTCGATCAGGCACACCACCGCGGCCCTGCCCTTGCCGATGAAGTCGTTGACGGTCAACGTCGTGAGATCTCCCGTGCCGGCGGGCGCATGGTAGAGGTGTCTCAGACCGGTCGACGGGCTCGCGAGGAGCGCGAATAGCCCGTCCCACTGCTTTTGGTCAAAGTCGACGAACGCCGAGTCGCTGTCGTACGCGTGCGAGAAGTCGAGGATGACGAGCTCGGCGCACGACGCCGTGAAGAGGTTGACGTGTGCGATGATCTCGGCGATGGACACGCCGTTCGCGCCCTGCCAGCGCAGCGGCGTCCGCGTGTTGCTGTAGTGGCCCGTGAAGTACGCTCCGGACGAGACCACGGGCCGGACGTCGAAGAAGCGCACGCCGTCCGCGAGCTGCTCGCCAATGTGGCGCGTCTGGGTCCGGACGTTGGCGGGGGTGACGAAGGGCGACGTCTTGGTGATGAGCTTGTCGAGGCTCATGCCCGCGTCGTGGGACTCGAGCAGGCAGATCGTGCGCAGGGTCTGCTCTCCGATGGCGGACAGGGTATCGCTCATCCATGTGCGTCCCGGCGGGTTGGAGGAGATGAAGGAATCCTCCGTGCCGCCGAGGAAGAGGAACGCGCTGCCATTGTGGACGAATGGGGTCTCGATCCTTGCGCCTTTGGGGTTGCCGAGGGTCGAGACGTCGATGAGGTGCAGGTAGTAGAATCCGTTGCCAAAGTCGCTGCCGTTGATGCCGAGTTCGATGGCGGGTGAGTGGTCGCCGAAGGAGTACTGCGTGAGGGCCCAGTCGTGGGTTGTGGCTGTTTTGAACTCGGCGTAGACGTCGACGATCTCTCCTGCATATGGCTTTCAGATGACCGGACCGTAAATCGAAACGTGATGCGACTCACCCGGCTTAATCTTCTCGGGAAGGGACCAGTCGCTCATGTCGCCGGCGCCGGCGTCGGGTTGGAATGTGCGAATCCATGTGTACGGCGTGGCGTTGACGACGCAGAGTGTACCGCCCCAGCCCATCTCAAAAGAGACCGTTCTGAATATTTACATAAAGCTTTCAATTGATGGTGAATGAGATTGGCGGCTGAGAAGGAAGCATGTCCGTTGGCGGGCTGACTTCGGGCGGGGTTTAAACTCTCCCTTCCCATACCTCTATGATCTCATCCAATGTTAGCCTCGGAAAGAGTCAATTCGGCCACAAGCGTAGCTACATGGGAATTCCACCTGTCCCGTCTGGTATTACTTGCCATATTCATAGATCTTCGGCAATACGTGTTCAGGGGGACGAATTGAAAAATATTTCTAATACATTTTCATGTATTAATTGTTTGCAGATATCCTCGCAATTCTAGCAACAAGGGATCTCAACATTGTGACTGACAAATATATTCGCTCTTGATACTCGCTCTTATCGTTATACCTATACTGACTCATTACATGTCACTTAGAATACACATGAGTCTCAGCTGCCTGCTGATGGCTACATCCATACCAAAATAAATTCCATTTGCTATATGAGCACAGTCAGGCAAGGTTCTCCGAACCACATGAAATAAATCGAACATATAGCCTCTGGCTTCCGCTCCGTCTACAAGAAGGTTGAATCTATATGATAAGTTCTTGATAAGGTAGAATATACCATCACGTAGAAAAAGGGTTCCTCAGCTCATCAGTGGGAACATCGCCATTCATGATTGCCTATAAACTGAACTTCGGTGACACCCTACTACGTCTCAAAGCGCTAACGGCTAGTCACATTCTGAAGCGTTCGAGAAAATTCTCTGGGTAAAGCTATGTGTCAAGTTCATCTTTGCCTAAAGGACATCATCACCATATATTCGCGACAGACACTCACCTCTCTAATCATGTCGTCGTCGCCGTTGTCACTTGGCATCTGGAAGTTCACAAATGTCACCAGGAATGATCGCAGAGTCCTTTATAGTGAATCAAAGTCTTATAGAACCATCAGCTGACCCCAGATGATTGAACCGCGGCGAAGTTGGCCGCACGTTCTCCTCCCAGGTTACGGGTGTATTGGACATCGAACCCACGGTAACTAACTCTTTCATTGAAGGGTGAAGCATTGTCTAAGATGGGAGTAATTCTTGCTATTGGAAAGATCGGTTTATGGTGTTTAAGGGACTGGTACATGAATATCGCGTACATCAGAAAGTAGACATTGCTCTTCGACTTGTTGATCTCGCCGCTACTCTGAAGACATTGAAGTCGACTAGCATTGGCAAGCGAAGCATCCGTTCAGTTGCAGTCGGTATCCCGAGACAGTTAATAGCAATAACACAGATATGTATCTTATCCTTACGCCCAGGAGGAAGCCAGTGCTTTGCTCCCGCGTCCTCCGGACCCAAGTCCATGGCCTTGGACGTCAGTAAAGGTGATGCGTTTTCCTTATCGGATTGAAATAACGATCATCGAGACGCGATACCAGCCAAACTGAGCTACGTCGAGTTCGTCGATCGAAAGACCCAGTATTCAAGGAAAGGGCCTTACGATATGATGCATAAGCAGCGGACGACGACATGGCCCGGCCTGGAATCGTTGGGAAACGTGCGCCGGTGTCTTCTTCGTCAACTTGATCATGCTTGAGTACAGGCCAGATGAAGAGCTATGGTGAGTGACACTTGCTCTATGGCTTATCGCTGGGCGAGATTAGTTGGTAAGGTGAGTTGAGGATTTGTATAAGACTGCCCATCTTTTGCGGCGAAAGTTCACACATATTCGTCGATGACTGTTCCGCTGGGGTTTGTCGCAGAGAACTATGAGAGTTATTGAATTTAGTTTCTTACTTTGCAGCGCTTGATGAGATTAAATATGAACAGAAAGGATGGTGTAGTTGTGATTGGATTTATTTGTAGCTTTTTTACGCCATCAATATCTTTGGTTTCTCGGTGAAGAATAAAGTGTTGACTCCTCCATCCAATGCTTTGATTTATTGTAGAACCGGCTTGCAAAAATACCTTTTACGATGTCACAAATGACTTGAATCTCATTTAACTCATCAATCTTGTGTAACTGGATAGGGGTGCAAGTGTCGTTGATCCGCCTGTGACGCCCTCACCGGAAGCTCACCGAGCCAGAAAGCCACCGGAGCTATCCAGGTGAGACCTATGTGACCGACTCACGTCAAGCCAGCCCGAACCATTCCTTCTGTCCTTAAAAGTCCAATAACCGAGAGACATCAATGCGGGAAAGCTACCGAGCGTCGACACGGTCCTGACAAGCAAGCCGTGCTCTCGCGCACCCCTCTAAATCCTCCAGTCACGACCCTAATTGCAACGGCGAGCGACCGACAAGAAATGAAACGGCATCTGGCCCCAAGTCCCGAGTGAAGATCAACAGACTTCATTCGGTTTCGCTGCTTCGAATGTCTTGGCCGTCTGTTCGAAATAACTCTGCTTCATCGCCATATGTACGAATACATATTTAGAACACCACCACAGCAGGCCAACCAACATACCTGGCGACAACGGGGTTCCGCAGGAACAGCATGGGGGCAGAATTTCCGCCCTCGCCTACTCTCCAGGCCGTTGGTCCTTGGCGCGAAAGGGGGGGGTCCGAGAGTCTAGAACTCCCGAGGGACCCTTGGATCGCTGTCAAGCCCCTCATCCATCACCTGGGGGCCTATCTGCTGCGATGCATTAACGTCCGTCTTTTGTCATTTGCCCGGAGACCCGTGGCAGCCCACCACCATCTTCTCGGCGTCCGGCAAGGCAGCGAGATCTACCGCTTGAGCTGTGTAATCATCAAGAGAAGAGTGTGTGTGTGTGCGTGTGTGCGCGTCTACGTCCGTTCACCTCCCAAAGTCAAAGCTCAATCTATTGGAAATTTTGTGAGCTCGAACGGCGGGACGACGGCAACCCCCGGTTCTCAAGATTTGCCGTTTAGAGAGGTCACGAATCGTTCGACGGCGCACGTTTCCGGGATGGCGGCGCGGGGGACGGCAATCCTGGCCGTGGTGTTCAACACCTTACCTACATACCTAGACAGTGGTCGTAAAATGTCCAATCTAAGAGCTCGTAATGACGCTGGAGGTCTTGGGACTGGGAGAAGTAGGCAAGCATTTGATCCTGATTTTGTTTCGTGACACAGCTCCCGAAAGTCGGTAGGTAGCATTCGGGGGAGGAATGTTACGCTGAGGGGTAGATGTTTGGGGATGCGGCTCTCTACCCATTCTATTTTCTGCCTTTACACTGGATATGCTTATTCCGGGTCATTGGATATGCTTCTCAGTGCTCTATAAATGCGCTTTGCTTACGTACCTCAGTGCACTCGTTCGAGGAAGATGAAAGTTTTCTTGGTCACGACATACTTGATTGGACTGAGCCGACGAGTGTCGACTCAAGCTGCGCCGAACCGCTTGACTCGCCTGGGTCCTTTTTTCGTTCTCACCATCTCTTTCGAGGTCGATGAGACGGCAAAAGAACTGGGGGCCGCCGCCGCGTGTTGACGAACCTGGGCGGTAAAGGCCTTGGTTCTTTCTAGATTACCGCAGGGTTGGATGAGAAGAGTAGATGATCGTCGAAAAGTAAACCATGGTCCGTCGTCATAACCTGAACTTGAACGAACCCGTATTTGGGAATTTGGTGAGAACATTGCATATGCGGCCGTGAACCCAATCACCTCCGCGCGCGCGGAAACCCTTCCCTTCACATCACGGACCTCACGGCGTTCATCGTCAACTCATCCAGTTGTATCTCGTCCCGGGCTCAATTTTACCCCTCTTTAGGCATAGCAACGAACGCTCAAACTCCCTTTGGGCCCTATCCACCAGAACAGCTCATCCCACCCACCCCAGCAGTTTATGAAGCAATCCTGAAACCGCCCTCACCACCACCACCACCACCTTTTCCACTGAGGAGCAGAAAAAAAAAGAGAAAGCTCCAGCCAACGACAAGGCCGTCCGCATGTGACGGGTGGTGGTAGCAGGCGGGACGAACCAGCAAATGGCCAGGCGGCGGCAGAGGATGGCCACGGTCCGTTCACACACACACGCCACACCATCTTTTCCGCAGCGAACCGCCGCTCGCTGTCGTTGTCGTGATGTGGACGAACGTACCCCTTGCGAGGGAGAGAGAGGGAGAGAGCACAGATGTTGAAAAGTCAACGGCCGACGGGACCGCTCTGGAGTCTGGCATCCACACTTCGCGACACGGCGAGACTTTGCGGTGGTTTGTCGGATAGGGTAGACCTAGTATGGCCCGTCGGCGGTGTTGTGCTCAGCTCAGTAAGAACCTCGTTCTGGTCCTCGCTGGTGGAAAAGGGCGAGAGCAGGTTACAGCGACAAGCTTTGGGCGGCTGAAGGAGCATTTGCTGCGGCTAAGATATGAAGACGGAGGAAGAAAAGGGAGGGTTTATTCTGTGTTGGTTGGATGCTATGAACGACTGTGACATGACCCCCGGTACCTCGATCTTAGCAGTTCGGAATAAGAGCCCTTTGGTCGCCCTTTTTCGTTTCTAACACCACCTTGCCCTATATCTCGTCGCATCCAAATCTTTCTCTTTTCCTCCCTCAACGGCTTGTGGTGGTATCATTTTTTTCTCCGCGACCCCCTAACCCGAGAACCAACGTTGTCTTTCACCCCTGTTTCTCTTCTGCCTGGTGCTGGTGCTGGTGTCGCGATTGTCACTGCCGATCGTCGTCGTGGCTTCTTATTTTTCATTTTGAGATTCTTCAGCGGACGTCCGTTCGCCGTATCGCCTCGAACCATCATTCCTTTTCCATCTTTTCTTTTCGTGTAATTCTTTCCTGCGATTCACCACCGACCGATGAGAAAAATAGACGCCGGTAGACTCCATTCCAGTGTGGACAAAGACGCCGTTCGATTCCGACACGACACGCGACTCAACGTTTACCCAACGGGTGACGCGACGCCGGAAGAAACATTCCAGAACAACAACGACGTTGATTTGGATCACACTCCCTTTCATCGAGTATCACCGTCACCAGCCAAGAACAGGCCTTAGAAACGGGACCCCCTCCCCTCGGTTGGATTCCAGCAGAGCGGAACTACGCTACGCAAAAGATAGCGCCATCTCGCCGCCTCTAGCGTCCCAGGCGTTGGGATTTATTGGCAAGTCGGGTGGAACAGAGAGATCCATCCCCCTTTTGTGGCGCTGTGTCCGGTGTCGACCTCTGATTTTTTATTTTATTTTATTTTATTTCATTCGTGCAACCGCGCGACGGTCGAGTGCCTCGTGGCCGCCACTTCCTGCCTGCCTGCCTTCCTGCCTTCCCGGTCTGACGTCCCCCTCCCAAGCCTCCAGGGTTCAATTCAACTGGCAGCTGCTGCCTCTTTCAGTCTCGACCTCGACCCTTCCTGCCTGCTCTTTCCACTTTATTCGCGACTGCCTCCTTCCCGAAACCTCGGTTTACATTTTAACGCTTCTTTCCTTCCTCAAAATTTCAATTTAAATCAACGGCATTTGTCGATCGAAAAGAGAAGAAAATACCCCCCCGACTGCGGAGAAAAGGGAAGCCTCACCTGCATCTTGCACCTGCACCTGCACCTGCTCAAATCGGGGTACTCGGTTGCCTTTTTCGGGGGAAAGCGACTTACACCGCGATCGCGCTCGCGCCAAAACAGGGAACCTCTCGCCTTCCTACCGTCCTAGTAGCATCATCAACATCGACATCATCCATCCAGGTCATCATCTCACTGGAAAGCTGAGAAGAACCATTTCGACTCGACTCAGCCTCCCTTCCATTCGCAACTTCAGCCCTTCCCTTCCCCGCAGAAAAAGATCGACAGCTGGAGATTGTGGTCTTCGTATCCATCCGTGCCGCACTTGCACTTGCACTTGCACTTGCACGCAATCGCACTTGCGCCTGCCACCAAAGCTCTCAGCCCGTCCCGTCCGAGTCCCAACCCCCGCCAATCCCGGCACCTCCAGTCCGGGGACCAACTTGGCAGCACCAGCACCCTCCAGGTCACACCTACCTCACTTCAGCAAGCCAGTGCACTCGCACTTGCGCTTTACGGAGAGTTCCTTGCTCTTCACTTCAGAACACGGACACACACCTCTTCGTCGACGCCAATTCTTCTTTTTACATCCATCTGACCAAGACGACATCGCCAGTGCACCACTTTGCTTGTTTTTCTTTACCAACGAGAGACTGGCTATCGCTACATTCTGCGCCGCATTTCTACACGCTATTCGAGCATCGCCAGTTACCCGCCCGCGCATTTCTTCTACACCACACTGCAGTACCGCTACCACACACACAAACCACTGAACGCCACTCCCATGATGTTCGGTGTTCAGCAGTATCCAATCCCCGACATGACCCGGAAGAGGGGACGGGAGGACGACGATGACATGATGAATGGCACACTCAGCTTCGGCGAGCACAGAAACGTACGTCCGCTTCTCTCTCCTGCACCTTCCCCGTCCCGAGTCCGGCCTCCGCTAACTTCGGACTTGTACAGAAACGTCTCCAATGTCTCCCCCTCCGAACCTCGCCCAATTCGAAGCGCTGCTTTGCGCCCGTCATGCCCCTCAACGCCGTCCCTTGCACACTTACACCCGGCGATTCCGACTCGGAGGAGCAGCCCAAGTCGCACTTCTCGCCCTGGTCCTCCTCACCCGCCCAGGGCTCTTGCCAGCCCTCGCCGTTCCAGCAGACCGATCATGACATGGACATGATGGACACAATGTCACCGCCCCCCGTTCCCCAAGTCCACGCCCGTCCCGATCCGGCCTCGTCTGTCAACGGTCGCATGCCCACTCCCATCCAACCCAACTTCGCCGCTCAGGTTCGGGGTGGCGCCTGGGGCGGACCGGGACCCGCAGTCAGCCATCTCAACGGCGTCGTCAATATGGGCCACATGCACGCCGGCTTCGGCTCTGCCGAGTCCCGCAGCATCCCCCGCTCCATGGATGCCGGTGACGACTGGCACGCCGTGCAGAACCGTCGTCTGCCTTCTCCCATCAGCGAAGGAGAGGACTCAACTAGTCACGTCGGCAGCGCGAGCTTGAGTCCCCCGGGTATGATTCTCGACAATGGTTTCTCGTCCAACCTCGCCATGCGTCTGGAGCAGTCATCCCTGGATGGTAGTCACGACATGGACATGATGGGTATCGAAGATCACGCCGGTCACATGGGCGAGGAGCCCGTCACCACAACCATCGACGCACACCCCACAGAGACGACGTCAGCTCCCGCAACACCGTCGCCTGGACGCAAGGGACACATCCGGTCTAGGCACACCGTCAACCACTGGACCTGGCAGCCGGGAATGAGAAAGAGCTTCAGCATAGGATACCGAGCCGACTGCGAGAAGTGCCGTCTCAAGGTTCCGGGCCACTTCAATCATATCATCGTCTCATAGAAGGGGCTGACAGTCTTGGTCGAGAACTTGACCGAGGCGGCCAGGCAGCTGTCCAACCCCAGATGTGCGGAGCAGTACATGGCGAAGAAGCGGGAAGAGCGTCTGAGACGGGAAAAAGACGACCAGAATCTTTTTCGCCGTTGAGATGCCTGGTGGCGTAAAAGCATGACTTACAAAAGGCACATCAGAGTGTCATACAACTTCTGATTCCACGGCGTTTTTGATTTCGGACTTGGGGGGCTTTCGACGATGGCCATTGGCCCGTCCTGCGTAATACCACTTTCAGCGTACACATCTACACTCGTTTGGGCCCAAGGTTAACGGACTCTACACATTCTCGGTTTATAGGTTATGGTATATGGAAAGCATCCTGGGATGGGATGGGATTTGGGCAGTCCGGCGTGGCTGACCCGCATGGTGCTGCATTTTAGGAGCGTTGTGGTGTACATAATACCAGTCCCAAGGGACATAATCAGATCAGCGGGAGCTGCAGCATTGTTCATGACACAAGAAGGGCCTGCCCAAGTTCAGTGATTGCGCTATGTTGAATTTTGAGCTGTAAGGGTCTCGAACGTTTTGCCGAATCACGAGCCATTCGGTGTTCATGCGCTGTATTGCCAACAACCAAGACTTTTCAGGGACAATCGAATAACTCATGACATTATATGTGCATAGAAAAAAGATGGGCTACCTCAAAATGCAATCAACATAAAAATCTGCAGAGGTCGGTACTCTTCGGACGGAAAGCCTAAGCAATGCAAAGACGAGATGATATTTCCTTCCCGCATGCAAAAGATCCCAACCGGACGCCGTCTAATGCACATCCAGCCAAGTTTACACTATGATACAGTGACACTCTTCTCATCCCCACTTCACCACCTCCCTCCGGCGTCGAGGGATAGGACAGTCCGCACTCGTACAGGGCCCTCATCTCCTCCCTTCTCGTGTAACATCATCAGCCCCCCAAGGCATGCGTCCCACCATTATCGACAGATATTCCCACATGCCTGCCTGCTGCTGCTGCTGCTTTTTGTGTGTGCGATTGATTGTTCTTCTATGCCCGTCCCGAATATCGTCACAATACCACATGCTCCCCGTTGTGTTCTGTATCAAATTATAACATTGCCGCCGTCCAGCCTTTTGGTGTGTATGTGTGTGTTTGTGTGTTTGTCTCCCGGGACTTTAGATAAGTCAAAAGGAGAGAGGGAAAGAAGGCCTGGTGGTTGTACCGTTCTTCTTCGATCACCACCACCCCTTCTTCTCGACCTTCTTCTCCTCCGCCGGCAGCCCGATCTGGTCCAGCGCGCCCCCGCGCCTCTGGTTCTCCCTCTCCCGCTCGAACGCGGCCTTGGCCTTGTCCTGGATGTTCTCTGAGGGTGATGATGATGACGAGGAGAGGGGCCACCAGCTGCTGCTGCTCTTCTTCTCCTGCGGCGCTTCGGTAGTCTCGGTAAATGTTGCCGCAGCAGCTGCAGGGTCTTCCTGCGCCGTCGTCCTCTGCTGGCCGTTGCCGAAGAACTTCTCGGCCTGGGTGGTGACGGTGGGGGCGGAGAGGAGCGGGGGCAGCTTGACGCCGGTCTCGCGGGCGCGGGCGTTGGCCTCCTCGACGAGGGTGACCTGGGCGTCGGTGGCGGTGCCGTTGATGAAGGCGAGGCGGGCGGTGGCGAGGGAGTCCTCCTCCATCTTGCGCTGGGCCTCGATGAAGTCGGCGCGGCGCTGCTTGTTGTAGGTCACCATGTCGTAGACGGAGTAGACGGAGACGAGGCCTGCGATGGCTTTAAGGGTGTTAGCTTTTTGGCTCTTTTGGCGGTAGATATGTTCTAGCTTCAGATTGTTCACTCTCTTCCCTGGGGTGGCGAGAGTTCGAGGCCAATTGAACCACCCCAGAACGAGAGAACATGTGTAGAGAGACACAAAAACGTACCCGTGAACCCGACGAGTCCGATGACGGTGGCCTTGTGCGCGACGTCGAAGAACCTCCGGCTGCCGCCGATGACGCGGTCGACGCTGCTGGTCTGGGCCTTGCGCGCGGCCTCGTGGGCGGCCCGGAGGCGGCGGACGCGCTGTTCGGGGGTCTCGCCCGGTAGCCTGCCGGGAGTCGCCGACGAAGACTTTTGTGGTGTGGTCCTGGAGGCGGCGGCGGCATTGGTGCTTTGTGTCGTTTTCGCGCCGGCTTTTGCTGCTGCTGAGGATCGTGGGGGGGGAGTCGAGCTTTTGGAGGCGGCGTGCGGGGTGGTCGATGTGAAGCGCGTTGCGTCCGAGGCGCTTCGGGGGGAGACGCGGGAGCTCATCTTTGTTGCGTGTGTGTGTCTGAATCCGTCAATTGTCGATTGGGAGGGGACGGCTGTTGGGAGAATTTGACGTTCGAAGTACACACTCGGATCGGAAGAACGGCGGACTCGGGGTGGATGGAGGCTGTCATGAGATTTTTTGGAGCTTTGGGATTGGAGAGCCCGGGATGGGTTGGGTTGGTTTTTTGGGGGGTTCTGATTGGCTCGGTAGGTCCCGGGGGCTTGATGTCGTACGAGACTTTTTGGGCAGCTTAGGTACACGGTCTTGGAGAACGTTGATTTCGATGAAGAGATGGATGTTGAGGACTTCAATTGAGGCTGATCGTTAAGCTTGGGAATTATGGTGATCACTGGTTTACGGTGGTCTCGGTCTTGGAATCATAGGAGAAGGAGCTCTGGCAAAATCTAGGCGGGTTTATTTACCACAAGCTCACCTGCAGAGAAGATGTAGGGACACCACGACGAAACTAGCACTACTGAAAGTATTGAATTGCGAATGAAGCAGCATTAAGACGAGCTGTTTCGAGCGATGGGCGGCGACGTGAGATAAAGCTCGAGAGAAGCGATCTCGAGTAAAATCAAATCCGAGGCATCACAAATGTCAATCAAAATCCTCTTCATGACCCTGCACTCGGCAGAGAACACAATGAAAACCAGTGGAAGGAACACATCAAAAATTGCGACCGCGATGGTCCCGAAGGACAATCGAAAGGGATCGACTCCGCGATGTGCAATGCAGGCCTCTCCCCATGCCTCCGGGAATTCGTGATCACCCCGAGGCCGGACTAGGTAAGTATATCTTCCAAGTCAAGTCGTGAGAAAGCTGCGCGTGGTGGAGGAGATTTTATAGGTTCTCTGAGGCCGGCCACAATCAGTAGCGGTACGTACTTCCTCAGAATGGAAATTCGCCATTGGCCGGGCCCTGGCCCCCTCGGATCATACTTGCCCCGTCGCCTGCGCTGCCTGCCCTGCCACAGCAAGAACGCCCCGCAGCCAATGAACGCCGGCAGGAGGACCCGCACCGAAAAATCCCACCCCCAAAGCTACGTACCGAGCACTTCGTAGGGTTTTCATGCCCTCCAGAGATTTTGACTCGTCGTCCTCCAGGAAATTTCGCATCCGCCTCCAGCAGCATCTCGACGACCCGGCCTAGGACTACTAACCCTTTGATCGCGACACAGGCACAATGGTACGTTTGGATACACGGATTCCACACGATCGCCGGCTACGGCATCGCCGTCGTTGCTGTTTTTACTAACGTACTTTTTCAGGCGATCGCACACAACCAGCAGATCCCCCACAACCGTGAGAATACCCCCTCTTCCGAAGACAACAACAAAGCGACGACGAAGCACCGCGCGCAACACCGAGAAGGAACACGACGAGACTGACTGTGACGATACAGACTTCCGCAAGGATTGGCAGCGCCGGGTCAGGACGCACTTCGACCAGGTATGATTTTACACGATGGAGATTGGAATTTGGGGAGGAAAGAAACACGGACAATTCTGACTGGAATTCACATCACAGGCCGGCAAGAAGCACAGCCGCCGTGTCGCCCGTCAGGCCAAGGCTGCCAAGGTCGCTCCCCGTCCCGTCGACTTGCTCCGCCCGATCGTGCGATGCCCTTCGATCAAGTACAACCGCAAGGTCCGTGAGGGCCGCGGTTTCACCCTGGCTGAGCTCAAGGTAGGGATTTCTCCACGACGAAGACAGCCTTGAAAAAATACTGACACTTTCCAAGGCCGCCGGTATCCCCCGCCTCTACGCTCCCACCATCGGTATCGCCGTCGACGGCCGCCGCCAGAACCTGAGCGAGGAGTCCCTCTCCATCAACGTCGCCCGCCTCAAGGCCTACAAGGAGCGCCTCGTCGTCTTCCCCCGCCGCTCCAACAAGCCCAAGCAGGGCGACTCCAAGGTCGACCTCGCCTCCACCGAGATCTCCCGCAGCACCTCCGCCGCCTTCCCCTTCGAGCAGGTCGTCGCCGGCTTCTCCGAGATCGCCAAGTCCGACGTCCCCAAGCCCGTCGAGGGCGGCGCCTACCGCAAGCTCCGCGAGACCCGCGCCGAGGCCCGCAACCAGGGCAAGAAGGAGAAGCGCGCCCGCGACGCCGCCGAGGCCGAGGCCGCCAAGAAGTAAACAGTCTTTTGATCACAAATTGCTGCTACTACTTCTTTGGTGTCTTTACGGCCTTCTGGGCCGTTGTGGTTTCCGGTGTCGGGAGGAAGGGTTTTCATCATGTTTTGCGCTGCCGCGGCGACGAAGAAAAAGAGGACAAGATTTTCCGGGACGCTGCTTTTCGACACGTTAAACAACAACGACAAAAACTTTGTCTGGGCTTGAGGGAAATGAAAAGTCTAGATCGGGGTTTTTTCTTAGCTGGGCCTGGCGTGGGTTTCGGCGGAATGAGAGATACTCAGGACAAGGTCATAAAGAAACTATTGCATTGATCACGCCAGCAACTTGTTCGTTTCGTGTGTTTTGATATCTGTCTCGAAGTGGGACGCGCTATGAGGACGACGTGACGTGTATGATGTGACTGGCTTATACCATTTATTCATTCAGCTGTTTTGCGAATTGAGGCTCGTGATGTCCTGGTCATTCTCTCCTGCTGGTATTAGCACAACGTCGTTTGCTGTTTTGTGCGCTATACAGATTGTTCGTGACATCAAGCCACGATGTTTCATTGACGCTACTCTGCAAGCCGTCTGCCAGGTATTCCTAATCCATTATTCAAATCATGACCACCTGCTATGCATCCTCCTTACTCTTCTCATCAACAAGCATCTCCCCGCCCTCCCTCAACATCTCCTCAAACGCAGCCCTCCGCACAGCAGGCAACTCATCCTTGTGCCTCCTCACCAGCTCGCTGACCATGACGAGCCCGTTCTCCCGATCAACCTTCTTCATCCCCGCCGCCTGGGCCGGGTCCGTCGCCTGCGGTTCCAGCCCCAGACCGTCCACCATTGCCGCATTATCACCCCCGCCGCCCCCGACGACCACGGCCTCTTGACCGCTCGTGATGGTCTTCTGCTCCTCCCCCTCCTCCCCGGAGAAGCTCCGCCCCGTGATGGACTCCGTCAGCGCCTCGAACGCGCCCTGCACCTGCAACGCGCGAATCACGACGCCGGCGCCGTCCTTGGACCGGCACATGAGCGCGAAGACGAACCATGCTTCGCTGCGGAGCACGGGGAACTTGGTCTGCGTCACGAGGAACGCGAGCGCCTTGTTGAGCGCCGCGTGCTGTCGGTAGAACTTCTCCCTGCGCCTCGCGTCGCCGCTCTCGGAGCCGGCCTCGGCGGCCGCCGTGGGCGAGAGCGGCTTCTCGGGACGGAAGACGTAGCCGTCATCCGCGGGGTCCCAGTCCGGGAGGAGGGGCGGGATCGGGGCGGTGTGCAGGACGCGGCAGACGGCGGCGGCGGCGCGGGCGGCTTCGGTCCGGGTGTGCTCGGCGTCGGAGCGCGCGAAGAGGTCGAGGAGGCGGTGGAAGTGGGTCGTGTCGTGGGAGGGGGAGAGGGGGTCCGGGTTGAGCGGGGCGCAGAGGCGGCGGACGTTGGAGGGGGTGTTGACGAGGAGGAGGCGGGTGAGGGAGACGGCGGAGAACTGGACCTGGGGGTTGACGTCGAGGGCCCAGATGCGGGGGAGGATGTCGGCGTCGAGGAGGCCGGCGTCGCCGAGCAGGGGCTTGTTCTGGGGCGGGATGGCGAGGTTCTTGAGGAAGGAGAGGGCGGAGTGCAGGAGGATGGAGTCCTTGGAGACGCGGAGGAGGTCGACGAGGGGGAGGTGGACGGCGTGGTCCCTGACGAGGGCGTAGGAGGCCTCGTCGGAGCGGGCGACGTTGCCGAGGCAGAGGCAGGCGGCGGACTGGAGGTGGACGTTGGGCATGGAGAGCCAGGACTGGAGGGTCTGGAGGACGGGGGAGCCGATGGGGTTGTAGATGGTGAAGGCGTCGGCGTAGGAGATGTCGGCGAGGAGCTGGACGAAGGACTGCGGGAGGGCCTTGAGCATGACGGCGGCGTCCTCGTCCTCGACCCGGATGGCCTCGAGCTGGGTCTGCAGGTGGTAGAAGGTGGCGAGGAGGATGGGGACGGAGTTCGTGGTGATGAGGGCCTCTTGGATCGGGGCGTGGGTGAGGTAGGCCAGGGCGACGGCGACGAGGGAGACGAAGTCCTCCGCGTCTGTCGTCGGGGTCAGGGCGAGGGTGAGGAGGAGAGCCGGGGTTTGCGGGGGCGCGAGGGTGGCTTCTGTCTCGTGGGTCGCGAGGAGGGCGAGGATCTTGCTGATGATGCCTAGGAGGTGCTGGGCATTGGCGAGACGCGGGCTGGTGAGGAGGTCGACGAGGGAGAGGGTTAGAGAGGCGGTTGAGGCTGCCTGTTGGGCCGGCTCGTAGTCGACGAGGATGTTGTATAGGACCGGGACGGCGAAGGGGAGGGCGACGTCGTCGGAGAGGAAGGTGATGATGGCGGGAAGAGCGTTTGAGGCGACGACGCGGGCGCGGTTCTCATCTGGTGATGTTAGATTGTGTGGTTGTGAATATGAGAGGGAAAGTACCTGTGTCGGCGCATGAGTTGCCGATGAGACGGAGCGAGTGTTTCTTCAAGGCTGGGCGGAGATCCGGGGTGACGATGACGGTGAGGAAGAAGTCGACGATTCCCGAGTCGCCTAGCGGAAGTCTCCATGAAGCTGTCATTATGTGTCAGTACCTCATGATTGCGGCTTCATGAGGGGATCACTCACCATCTCGACTTCCATCGCCCAGCTTCTCTGCGACAAGGTCGAACTCCTGACTCCCCGCGAACCACAACTGCTGCGCCGTAAACAGCACGTCACTCAGCAAAGCCGTCCTGTGAGCGCGGCCCTGGTCCTCGGCGCCGGGGTTCGCCCATGATGAGGCGGATGCCAGAAGGTCTGCGATGGCGTCTGGAGTCATGGCTTTGCCTGATGCCTGCGGCGGTTCGGCCATGATGGAATCTGCTTCTCTTTTCTTCCTTCGAGTGCCAGCGCCTTCTGCACACAAAGTCCAATGACTTTCTTGGCTGGTCGACAGTCAGTTTGTGTAAGTTATTTCCGGACGTGAACACCCCTCACGAGAATATCGAAATTGGTATGGAGTTCGTGATTGGTTGTAAGTTGACGGCTTGCGTGGTGGTGGTGCTCGCAGCGCTGCCGGACATGGGATGAGCCTGGCCGAATTCCTGTTTCGGTGACGGTGGTGTTGAGGGCCATGTGGGGTATCCAACCGGGAATCGTGATTGGTTTAGAAGTGTTTACCGCTGTGGGTCATTCTCTCGGCGGTGTTTGCGCCGGATGATGTAACGGCCCCGGCGGTGTCCGGGGGTCGTCCGGGATGCAAACAAGTTAGCCAAAGGGAGCATTGAGAATACCTGGCAGATAGATAAAGGCTTTGTTCATACTTCTGATTCATTTGGCACTATTCCGGTGATTGTTACGATGCTTTTGATGAACTCGTCGTACTGATTGCTTGAGAATTCTCTGACTAATTAATAAACACGAATAAAATGGACAAATTAATTTGGCAAATGTGTAGACTTACTTTAATATGAAAAACAAAATATGCAGACAAGTTTGATTGCTTTTAAGAAGATTGTAGATGGTTCTGAAAGTCGCAAGTCGCTGGTTTGGACCCGGTAGCATGCTCACACTTAGCGGATGTATCACTCATCTGCTCAGATACTAGATACTGTAGAGAAAATAAAGCTCTTACTCTCAAGAAAGCCGCAATGCCCATCATGAGGCTTTCTGAAAGCAAGAACAAGAGAACACCATAATCATAGGAACCAAATAACAGCTTAACCGTTAACCAGGGTGGTGCCATGTCCCTACAGGGGATGTGTTTGCTTCATGCGCCCAGCCCCTTGCGGACTTCGGCGCCGCTTGTTGTCATATCGCTTGAAAAGAGAAAAGAAAACCAAACCCAACTCTGCGCATCTCTTTACTTTTGTCAAGTCTTACTGATTCTTCGATAGCTTTGGAGGCGATGACTGTCTTCGCCTCTGGGCTGTCCGTTGGACGGACGATACCTCGTCAGCTTTGGCTGACGTTGAGCCGAAGATCTTTGTTGTACCCTCTGCCGATAGCCGGAACACAGAAATCGATTTCAAGACGCATCAATTCACCGCCTCATCAATCGCAGAATCGTTGTCTATCTTCGAGTCCTCAGAACAACGCCGATGTTGGTCAGCACGACAACAACAACCCGGGCTCTCGCTTTAGCCTGTCGTATCCATGGGCGGCGGAGCTGGTCTGGCAACTTCGACAGAACAACTTTAAAAAATGTGGATTTGTTGTATACCGCTGTGACTATAGCAGTGACAGCACATGGAAGCAGTACAAAGCCTACATAAATCGTGTTACGAGAGACGCTATGAGAGACTTGCCCGGGATCGACTGTGAAGTTACCTTCGTGGAGGACGAAGACTTCCTTGACGGCGCATCCAACTACAAGATTCGAAAAAGACATCGGAAATGGGCTGAGTCTGCCATCAGAGACGAGAACCCTCGTTGGGAGCCTCCCGAAAAAACATCCTGGTGGCATGGTAACCCCAGATACGACTACTTCGTCACCCTCGACGCTCTCCCCCTGTGGTACAACCAAATGTCAACACCGCTGGACGATCAAAGATCCTTCAAGCTGCACGCGACCGATTGGTTCAGAAAGAAAGGCTTGGAAATGCTGAACTTCAATTCATGGGACGTGATGGAGTGGAGACGACACCGAGGTTGGGTGAAGCTACGCATGAATTGGTTCCAGATGGATTTGTACGAGGACTTGTGGGGACGAGAACCCGGAGATGCCCTTCAAAGAATCAAGTGGAAGCGGGAAAGAGACGAGGATACGATCCGGCTCTATCTTGGTGGTAAATGGAGATACGATTGAGACGAGCAAATCACCTCGACGTCAGCAGTCAGCCGATGTAGAGATCACCGTCTTTGAGAGGAGTGCTATTGCAATACAATCAAATTCCACAATTGCCTCAGGTCGCATCTCAATGATCTCACCAGTGATGGAGACCCGCGAACGATCGATTCCCGTACAGTATAGAAACATCCGGCACGACCTCTCCATTTACGTGGATAAAGCTTCTCTCAGAAGTCTTTACCATATAGGCTTGTTGGGATTCACCTGAGAAATCACCGAACGAGACAGAACTCAACTTTGTTGTTTCCAGTTGGAACCAGAGAACACCTAGGTAGCTGGAGCGAGGTGCGAGGCATCAATGATACTTCCGCACATCAAGGGTGTGTTGAGTTGAATTTGTCGGACATAGTTTCGAGGCCACTGTGATCAAGTGCCCGCAGCGGCAATTTTGGGTTACAAGTGGACTCAAGGCGTTATGGCTGAGCTTAGATATGGCGGAGTTGAGTGCGAGAGGCAATAAGTGAAGTCTTGGAACAATATGCACAGGTTCAGGGCAAAGAGGGACGATTCTTTAAGGCTCATTGCCAAAATCTGCAGCAACAAGTCATGTTGGCGCTCTCATGATTGTATACGTAATGTCAGAGAACTCAAGGCCTTGATGCCGGATTCGGCTCGATTACTTGTTAAGGACATGGACTGGCCGGAGAAACCGGAAAGCCTTAATAAATGCGCGCTCGTATCTGAGGCTAATGAATACGCGCTGTAAGTCAGTAGAGTGCCGAACTAGCCGACTTTCGCGGCTTGCTCAGGGTACCTGACAAAACTCTCCTCTTTCAACTTTGACGATGACGACGAGATTTGTTCAGACAGGTGACAGTTGGGCAGCCGACTGGAACTATGCAACCTGCGATGCTGAAGACACAGAATTCAGGCACCACACCATTCGCAGACTTGCAGTTGTGTCCCCTATTCTCACCTTCAAGTCAGTGCTTTGAGCACCCCACAGTCTCACTGAACGAAGTTGATCAGCTCAAATTTGCGACCACTCAATTAACCTTCTCTAGTGGAATTGCCCGAGTCAAGGTACACCCCGGTCCAGGCAATCAACGGACGGACTTCACGAAGTATCGTCGCCCCTTCATCTCGCAGCGGACAATGCCAAAAACTACATGAACAGATCGTTTCCTTGGCACCATGGAGACTGTTGGTTTGTTCAGTAGTCAGTCCTTTTCAACACCTTAGGGGGCAGAGGTAGCAAACATGCCCCGACACTCTTTACTCAAGTCGCTCGTTTCGTTCACATTCGTTTTCACAGCTTTGGCTGGCAGAGGCCAAGTCAAACACCCAAAGCCCTACCATGAGGTGCCGCAACTAGCCAGACACGGCTCTTTTGAGCCTTTCACCGCACCGAGCCCGGATCATCTGAATCCTCGTCAAGAGAAGACAGCCGACGGTCTCACCGCGATCGACACTTTCACTTACAACGGCGAGTCATGGACCGCGTACGAGGATGTCACCCGCTTCGATGGCCCTTTGGTATTGGTCTCGTCGTCAGGCACACGGCGTGAAATCAAGAGATACGTCGAGGCCTCAAGCGACGAAGCTGTTTCGCTCAACAGGACCGTCGACGCCTATTTTGGCCTCGACCCCACCAACGACGTCAACCTGAAGCAGAACGACGTCCTCGCAGAGCGTCTTCTTCAGGACGGCGAACCCGTTGAGGAGCATGTTCGCGACGTCGTCGACCTATCTTTCTTGCCTTGGGACACGTATCTCGGAAATGTCCAGGCCAATGACACAATGGCCCTCGATTGGCAATCCACGACAAAGAACTACCAACCCTGGAATGACCTCCTCGAAGCCGCGGACGGAACGCACTCCAACTACTCCTTCGACGGTCTCTTGAGTGGATGGATGCCCGCAAGCCGCAAGATCTACCGCGGACTCGAAGACACCACCGACTGGGTTGACATTACCGCCTTTGCTGACGTCGACTCTCCTGATCCAGAGATTGTCCACATCTGGTTTTCCATGACGTATATCAAGGGCGGCGTAGTCCGCGCGCACAAGTACGCGTTGGACTACAAGCAGTTCCTGCCCCTGAAGGCGCACCCCACAGCGAACGACTTCTACCCGGCCCTAATGCGCTTCACGGACTACTGGGAGTCTCATGTGAAGGACGGCATTTCTCTGACTCTTCCCGACGAGACCTGGTCAGACATGGGCAAACACGCCTTCGCAGCAGAGCTCGTCGGTCGTGCCGGTGGCGTGTCCCCGAGATACGGCGCCTTCGAGCGCGACTATGGCGGCTCGGAGTACGACGGCTTCCAAGACATCATGACCTCCTCACTCACGGCCAACCTCGCCTGGGGACGCTTCGACCAAGCAAAGACCATTCTCGAGAACTATATGGACTGGTACGTCTACGACAACGGCGCGATCAAGATGCGCGGACCCGCGGTACCGCAGTTCGGCCTATCTCTGTCCCTGATCGCCCGTTACGTGCAGTACACAGGCGACACCGCGCTCGTTGAGAGGTACAAGACGAAGATCCTCGCGTGGGCGAACATGCTCACCACCCGCCAGGACGAGAACCTGAAGCTGCCGGAGGACGATCCGTACCACGGCCTCATCTCCGGGTGGAGCGAGTCTGATGCCGCTCTCAGGAGCGATGCGTGGCGGTTCGAGAAGCCTTACTGGAATAACGCCGCGTTCGCGGCTCGCGGGTTGAAAGACTTGGCCAACATCGACACCTTCGCCAATCAGGCCAAGGACTGGAACGACAGGGCTGAGAAGCTCATCAATCAGACGGCTGTGACGCTTGACAAGTGGATTCAGCGCAACTTCACGCCTCCTTACGTCCCCGTACTCCCCAACGAGACAACGCATGTGCTCGAAGACTTGGCGGAGAAGGGAGACGCATCGTCGCAGTGGTGGCCTCACCGCGTCTACTCAGAGCTTCTTCAAGCATCCGTGCTGTCGTCCAACCAGACGGACATGGTAATCGACTCGATGCGAGCGTACGGAATCACCAGTCTCGGAGTAGTTGCGAACGTGACGCCCCTGAAGCCAGATACCCGCGACATCCTCGGTTTCATTTCATACGGCTATGCGCTGACTTTGTTGCTGCAAGATCGCATCGATGAGTTTGTGTTGTTCTTGTATACTCACCGATACCACGTCCACAACCGCGGGCTGTGGCTCGCTGCCGAGGTTGCTGGCACTGGCGGAGGTTCAAGCACGTACTGCCAACCGTCCGAGTTCACGATTCCCATCTTGCTGAGAGCTGCGTTGTTGCTGGATCATCCGGACGAGGATGCCTTGTTGGTTGGACGAGGTGTGCCGAGAAAGTGGCTCAGCGAGGGTAAGATCGGGGTGCAGAGGGCGCCGACCAAATGGGGACTCGTCGATCTTGAGATGGAGCTGGATCAGAAGGCACGTACTGTCACCACGGTCTTGGGCTTCGAAAAGGCACCTCCGGCGGAGGTGAGGGTGAAGATGAGATTACCGGAGGGCAGTGAGTTGAAAAACGTCACCGTAGGGGGCGCGGCTACCGAGTGGAAGGGAGAGGAGGTTACACTGCGCCTTGGATCGGGTGCGCGAAACGTCACCATTGTTGGAACCTTTCAATAGACAACTTCGAAACGGAAGAGACAATGGGATGAAAGAGCCGTAGGAAGAAGACGACTGAAGCCGGAAGAAGGGGGAGAAGACCTTTCAGTAGAACGGCCCCTTCTCACCCTTCCTACACTCAGGATTGATAGATGATTGATGTCAAATCACTCAATATGGATACAATTATCCGCATCCAAGTCGAGCTGGAGCTGTGCTGCCCTTGGTGAAAGAATTGATCTCTCAGTACGTCGCTAACATGCGTCGTGTTTGCTAACGCTCAACTACATGTTTACGGATTTGTCGACGCAGAGCGCGGTTTCCGTTTTGCAATTCATTGAATTCATATAAAAGACCACATCATACGATACTACTCGGAGTTGAATCGACATACTCATCCAAGTAATCCTACCTTGTCATCTGCCAAGCCACATCCCAAATATCCAGCTCTCAAAATGCTCTCTTCATGGAGAATGCCCAGCCGTCATGTTCTCTCTCGACAATGGCGATTCGTCAAGCCCTTTGTGAAGGCAGGCCCGCGTTTCTCGCCTTTCGTACAGAAGCCCGCGAGCGTGTTGCGAGACCAGACCGCGCGATCGTACATCCAATTTTCTATCATGAGACTCCTCTCGCTTGAATTACAGCGCGTCGCTTCGGTCAAGAAGCTGGCGAGTCTCAAGCCAAAGAGGACGCAAAAACACCCGCTCGACCCTCAGTTAAGAAGCTGGCTGAAGGAAAACAAGGAACTTCTGGATCACTTCCATGCCGCCTACCGCATCAACCACAACGACCCAGGCAGCTGGCCGCAATTCAAGGAGCAGTTCACACGCGTAACACCAGGCGAACGCGTTAGCATGAAGCTGTCCGGCAACGAAGCCTTCCTTGGCGGCAAACATTTCAACCACATCTTCCAGTACAACCGGTTACGGGGAAAAAGTATTGGACGAGGAGCAAGCCTTTGCAAGAAAGCGAAACCGGCATCGCTCAAAAATGGAAAGTTTGTCTTGAAGGCCCCTAGGACTGTGTTTGACGGCAGCGAAAAGAGCGTTCTGCTTGTTCATGTCAGTCCGAGTGGGATCGTCTTCGAGGGCTTTGAACTCACTGAACGTCGAGGGAATAAATACGACCAATCGGTAATGCGTTTTGGATCGAGGGAATTTGTCGCATTTATTCAAAAGAAAGACCTCTCAACCGTGGCGAAGAAGAAGGTGCGAAGCTGAACGGTCGACGTCAGACTATGGGAATTCTGAATTCAGGGGTTTCAGGATTGTTGGCTCATTGTGGTAAGCCAACTTTGAGACCTACTTCTGCTTGTATTTTACCTACATCTCCACTCAGGGCGTATCGTGTTGAATTATTTCTATCCGAGTATTGTTATAAATGTCATAGGTGCTATGTGTTAAGTGATGGTTCTACCTTTCGCAGCGTTTGAGACACGGGAAGCTGGAGATGAATCATGGGCTGAATGCCAAGTGAGGATGGTGCCTGCTAGGATTAGTTAAGACAATGGAAAAGACGCAGAAATAAGTTTGAATATATCAAGGTAGTGGGAATCTTTGCCATAACATCTTGTAGTCGTGGCATGGGTAGTAATCTGGATGCATTCCAACCGCGCAGCGGCAACAAATCCCCTGATTCGAAACGCGAGATAGACGGGTATTTGGCTCGCGTCCAAGTTTGATCTCAAGGTTCAATTATAATTTTGCAGAATATTCTTGAGTGTTTGTATGAATTCAAGAGGTTGGAAGAAGTTTGGAGTTCCTCATCTAACCGCAGATACTCAGCCATCGGTACCCGCCATGGCACCCCATCGCCACCAAACGACGAGAACCTCAAGCCGCACCATGACCGCCACCACTCCCCTCCCAAAGCCACTCTTACCCCTTCTCCTCCTCCTCCTCCTCACCACAACTGCCAACGCCCAAGTAATGTACCTCGGCTGCGGCACCTTCACAAACTTCAACGACTTCCTCGAGCCCCGCGCCATCTTCCGCGGCGCCTCCGGCCCCCAGGCCTGCGCGAACGCGTGCACCTCGCACGTCGTCGCCGAGTCGCGCTTCTACATCATCGGCGACGGCGCCTGCTACTGCACGGGCTACCTCGTGACGCCCGTCTTCTCGACGAACCCGTACCCGAGCAACGCGCTCTGCACCGTCCGGTGCGCCGACGGGTCCGGGTCGACGTGCGGCGGCACGTTCGACGGGAGCCCGGTCTACTCGCTCTACGGGCTGGATCGCGTGAACGTGCCGACGCGCGCGGGGGTGGGCGCGCCGGCGCCGTTGCCGCCGGGTTCGAGTCCGAGTAGTTCGTCGACGTTGGGGTCGTCCTCGGTGTCGTCCTCCGCAGTCTCCTCGGCGACTTCTCCGATCTCAAGTTTCTCGGCATCAGGTTCTTCGACGTCCCAGCCAAGCAGCGCCTCCGGTTCCAGCAGCAATAGTCCAGCGTCCTCCGGTAAACAAACTCACCGACCCTATTTCCTGATATCTTCCATCTGACACAAATATAGGACCACCAGCCTCCAGTATCGCTTCTCAATCGTCGTCTCCAATTCCTCCGCCTTCAAGCTCAACTCAGCCCATCTCCTCGTCTGGCTCAACTCGTGGAACGTCATCCCTCTTGAGCTTCCCAGCGGAGAGTGTCACGCTGGCTAGAAGCAGCAGCACGACGATCTCCGTCTCCGTGGATGTGCCGAGCAGCGGAGGCTCAGTCAGCTCATCGTCAACACCCTCGCAACCCGTAACGCAGGCATCTGGAGGGAGCAGCACTGCGCCGGCTCCCTTATCCGTCAGCACCTCCACACCTTCAGGCGCCTCGACTTTGGTTAGCACGCCAAGTCTCGTCAACACGTTGATTCTCCTGTCAGTGCAGACCCTGAACTCGCCAGCGGCGGGAACTGCGGCAGCCCAAGCCAACCCCAACGCGAAGCGTGGTGACGTGGAGCCAGCTTACATCGCAATGATTTGATGGATATATTAGGAGGCTACGTGAGAACAGCTGATACAAGTCATCACGTACTGGCACTGAAATAGACATGATCTGGTAGTAATGGAGGATTCATCTATGGAATCCTGGAGCAAATACAAGGCCGCAGCGACGATGTCGCATGATAGCAAATATATAATGCCTGAGACCTTAGTGAGGCCAAGTTACATGCTTTGCTCTCCGTCTCAAACGTATGAGGTTCAGTGTTGCCAAGAATCCAACCACAAGCGAACCGCTTCACCACGCATCTCAACCGACCTCATACCATATACCATTTCTCTCGAGAAGGCGTCTGCCGGTGCCATCAGTGCAATTTAGAAATCCTCCCAACCTTCCTCGCCTCAAACCCAATCTCCATTAGTCATCTGTTCCCAGTCGCAGGTCCAAAGCACTCCGCTAACTTGTGCGTGTGTCAACTTCACCTTGACGTCCGTCCCCGCAAGTAATTTTCGGGCACTCTTGGTCCACTGAGCCTGCTTTCCATACTTGGAGCTGATGGCTATTACTTTCAGATGAGGAAGTTGCGTCTTGGTTGCCGTGCAAAGACTCGTGATGATGCTCTCGACTCCCTTCTTGTAGGCTATAACTTCTGGGTGTTTGGCCGAAATGCGTCCGGAGATGCCGTTCAAGATCCAGGTCGCATCCAGATAAAGCTTCTCCAACTGTGGTGGGAGCATGTCGGGCAAAGTTGAACCCAGGGTCTCGACCTTTTTCGGGCTGTCGAAAAAACAGTCGATGTCGATACGAAGCTCTTTGAGGCTGGCCATCTGAGGCAGACAGGTAAGGCCTGGACGTGACGCCGCACCGATTGCTGATTGACGAAAGAATCTGAGATTTCCTTGAACACAGAGGGAAAGTTCTTCCAGCCGAGGACACGAAGATGGAAGGACTTGGTTGATGCAGGTGCCAGGATCATAATGCACAGATGGGCTTCTGAATAAGGCCCTCAGCCGGCGCAGATCTGGGCAGAGCCTCAGTAGATTGCAAAGTCCTGTGCTGTTAGACTTGCTCCCGTCAATCCGAATCCTCTGCAAAGCAAGGTTCGGTTTGAAATCCACGATCCCTAGTATCGACCACAAGTCTGAGTCTCCTTCTACACTCAACTCGACGAGGTTGGGAGAAGAGAGAAGAGGGAAGATCGGATGAAAGATGCTGCCAAAGATGGATTCCACTCCGTTAGGCATAGCGTCTCCCGTAAGACGTAGCCTCTTCAACGAGGGGAAAAGAGCCTTGGGACTGGTGCTGCGTGACATCTCGAGGCCGGCGGCCAAGAGGCGAGTCGCTGGGCGTGAGAAGGCGTTGAGGTCCAAGCTGACATCTTCTGCTCGGTCAAGCAGGAGAAGGAAGAGGGAAAGAACGCAACGGGCGTTATCCGAGGCCGATTTGTTGCAGGAAGTCTTGCAGAGAAGAAGCAGATTACGTTCAGCTTCGGCGAGGTTCTTGTCGTTGTACTTGTGGTCTGCCCAGGATCTGAACAAGAAGGAGTAGTCTGCCATGTAGCGCGAACCAGAAATGGTGATGTCGACGATCCTGATGAAGCGTCGAAGGGCTGGGTTCTCGATCAAGCTTCTTGTGAGCAGGCCGTACGCCTTCATGGTGGGGATCTTGAGGTTGCGATATAGCTCGACTCGAGCGAAAGGATAGATTCGACGACTGGTAAGGCAAAGGTTTCGCATTAGTTTGCAGTCGCGATTCTCGCCTGCGCTCTGCATGATGCAGTAGATCAGCTCGTTGGGCAGCCGGTAGAGGTCGATTCGTTCCATGGCGTCAGATCTGCAAGGCTGAAGTTGACTGGGGTTGTTGTTTGAAGGGAGTTTTCGTCGGGCTGGCCGTATCGTGAGGCCGTTGTGCGATGTCGAAGGCAGAGAAGGATTCGGGGGGAGACGAGAAGAGGTAGGAAGCGGGCGAACGAGTTGGTACAATAGCATTGACGGGATGCGAAAGGCGGGATGACGGAAAGAAAATTCGAAGCAGAGCAGAAAATGCGAGGGAAGACGCGGTAAGGCACCCCGCGACGCGGTGTTTTCAGTAGAATGGAAGGTGCAAGATGGAAGGTGGTGGTAGGTTGTGGTAGGCGAGTTGACAACGTGAGGGCACCTAAGGTGGGGGAGGCCCCTCGACGTCAAGGGAAGGTGTAAAATACGTAAGGCCTCTTTCCAAAATGAGAAAGTCAGAGGTTGAGGCAGTCACGACCCTCCCTTCTAGGTAGTTTGACTTGTGCCTTCTTATATGGGAGGCACCTACCTGCCTGATCTAGTATGAGCAAGGCAGGGAACCTGTGGTCTTCCACTCTCATATGAGATCCTCATCTACACAAATTATATATATATCTCACTTCAAAGCTTACCGAACTCAACTTTCTGTAACCTTTGATTATATATATGTTTGATGCCTATGTGATGTTGAACTCACAGCACAATGCGTGATAAAGGCAAATGAGACATCTGTGAGAGAGTTCAAAGGAAAGAGCAGAGATATATTTAAGAAGTAGCTGTGAAAGAGCTTAAATGAAATCTGCAGTTAAAATAGGATGTCTTGTCAGTGGATCCTGAAAGAAATGTTTCTTTGCCGTTGAACTGGATCAATGTGGTTATTAGATTGCTAAAGAACAATAAACACACCTCGGCCTTCATGACTTGAGTGCCCTTTCAGATGGAAGTGGCTTCTTTCAACATGAAGAACATGAGGCAGTGGCAATGAGCTTCACTTGTGGAAATATACCAGCTGGGTCTAGAAGCAACTTGAGAAGGAGCACCTCGAGAGTTGAGAGCGAGGTAGGACCCAGGAAGGCCTCGAGTCAATGGTTAGGTAATCAGGCATTTATCCGCGCAACTTCACCTGCATCCGCTTCTCTCCTCTCTGCGCCCTCCAATAATTCGACGACCGAATCAACTCCTCGCACCCTTCCAACACCCACCTCCATTTATTCACAAAAACGTCCGTCACTTCCCAGTTCATCGGGTCCCACGGCTCTCCCCAGAGAATCATCTCGCCCTTTCCAGAAGGCGCATTTCCATCGCCAACCATGTCCAGACAAAGCTCCTCGTCGTCGTACTTCCCGTCCATCTTGATCAGATTATCTCGCATCCGCGGCAGGGGCAAGACGTCCAACCAAGGATGATGCACCACCGAAAGCTGCGTCTCCGTCGGCCGCAAATACACCGGTATGTCCCACACTGTCTGCGAATGAAACCTCGGATCCGTCCCGATCGGCGAGTCGCACTCCTCGTCGCACATCATCCCCAGCGAGAGCCCCAGCGTCTTCATGTTCTCCATTAACCCCCTGAACAGGTTGAACTGCACCAGCGGCAGCAGCGAGTCCGCCATGGGATCCGACCCCGAGTGCATCGCTTTCATAAGGAAAATGCCATACAGCTCGTCCATATCCTCGTCCTGAAGTTCGAAGAGCCGGCGCCGTCGCCCGATGTACGTCAGCGCCATCAGCGTCGCGTGCTTGGCGTACATGCGCTCCCCGTTGGCACGTCTCCGTTTCGGCCCGGGGTGTGCGAGCTCCATTGCGGTGTCGTACATGTACGTCGCCGTATCCTCGGCCGCATCTGTCGTCGCATCTTCATTGGACGGAGAGGAGGAAGAGGACGTGGAGGAGTCCTTCCGCGCCACTACGAGGGCGGATTCGGCGGTCGAGCTGGACTTCGCGCCTCGGGCCGTCCCTTGGCGCAGCTTTTCCAATTTGCGTCGTTGTCCTGGTGCGTTGAACGAAGCGTTAGAAACGTGCTCGGATCATTCCATCGAATGACGATGGTCAAAGGGGGAAAGGGAGATGCGGGAGCGTAAGCAGGTTGCATGTGTCTGGGGTGCCACTTACTCCACGCCCGCTGGTTGAGCCTGTTCTGGATCTTCCTTCTCTCGGCCGGGCTTGTCTTGCCCTGCCAGACGTCCTCGCTGGAGATGATCGTTCTCACGGCTGGCTGCACCATGTTCGACAGGTATTGGGGATTTCTGCTGATTTCTGTCATCCTGATTGAGGTCTCTGCTTGCTCGTCTCTACAATCCTGTTGAGCTTGTGATGCAGAACTCCCGATGGGAAAGTCGGCAGAGAAAAGATCTAGAAGAAGGGCCAAGAAGCCCCCGGAGAAAGGGTAACTCGACGGGGATCTAGGCTTGGGGTGCAGGTCCCGAACAAGGGACTTTGCAAGTTGGGTTAGACAGGCGTCAATCTGGACATGCTTCGAGTTAGTCTGGACCGGTCTGACGGCGCTAGTGACGTCAAATGGAGGGTATTCCTCGTGAGTGGTCTGCACAGTATTTGATATCGACATTGAGGTTTGCGCATGCTGAGAGGTTCTGATGGCCACCCTTTCGTGGACTCGACACCGTGAACTGCCAGTATGGCCCTTTCCTCGGATGTGATCGACACACTCTGCTTGCTATTTGACCTTCGAGTTCTGTCGATACATTAGATTAGTGATATGACCAGCACCGGACTCGAACTAAGGGCCATTCCACGTGCCGGTAGAAGCAGTTCAGCGACGGCTTCGCCGCCACATCCCAGGTCGAGAAATTGAAAAGAGATCGACACGGGGCGAGACCACACATCAATCTATTTGCTTTTTCTGCCCATGCCCGCGGAACGGCAACATCTCCGGAGCCAATTACGTGCCTTACCAAGTCACACTAGCGTTGCATTGTGCAATGTGAGCCGGGATGGTAATCGACACCACTGGCATTCGGCCCACGCTAGCTGAACAGCTGAAGGCAGGGGTAGGAAATCGAGGCGGAAAGACAGTGCGATATCACTGTCCTTCGCGAAGCATGGCTGGAGAACACAGTTCGTGTCATTCAAAAGAGGGGACAACTGGGTGAAGCTGGGTTGTTTCGCGGGAACACTTAAGATCTTAGTCCCAACTCGGCGTGTCCTCAACTCTTGATCGAGAGACTCAGTTACTGACCGAAAGCCAGACTTTTGGAACAAACAGACAATTCCATGGCACGTAACTACGCAGCTCTGGGACCAAAATATACCGAAATTAAACAAAACACGAGAGAGACCTGACTCCGTCGTTCTTCATTGCTTCAAAAATCTAACCTATTTCCCGATCAGGAGTACCCGCCGTGAACCTCGCTGTCACTAAGCACAACGCCCGCCTTTTTGTCCTTCATGAGCTTTTCCAAAACAGCCACCAAAGAATCCGCGCTCGCCTTCGTCGTCTGGTGATGGAACACGAGCCTTCCGTTAGGAAACACGGCCAACCGCTGCTCCGCACAATACTCCACAAACGCAGCAGGCGGAATCCCCACAGAAGCGAAGTCCAGCACAACCATGTTCGTCTGCACCGGAAGGGCAAACTTGTACCCTAAGCCCTCAAGCGTCTTCGCAGTAGCTCTCGCCAACTCATGTACCTTACCCAGTAGCGGCAACGTGTAGTCCAGAGCCGTGAGCGCCGCAGCCGCCATCATGCCCGGCTGTCGCGTGCCGCCGCCGAACATCTTGCGGTACCACTTGGCGCGCTCGATGAACTGCCTGCTTCCCAGGATCACGCTTCCCATGGGGGCGCCGACGCCCTTGGAGAGACAGATGGACATGCTGTCGAAGCAGGCCGCGTAGGTCTTGAGCTCGACGCCTTCGCCGATGACGCCGTCGAAGATGCGGGCCGCGTCGAGGTGCATGGCGACTGGCTTCTGGCCTTCCGGTACGGGGAAGGAGCGGACGTAGTGCGAGATTGCTTGCGCTTCTGCGAGCGGCAGGATGGTGCCGCTCAGGGTGTTTTCTAGAGACACGACGCGAGTTGGGGGGAAGTGGACTGGAAGGGGAAGTTAGTACATATGCTTCGGTGTATGGGTGTAGGAAGACACTCACTGTTGCCGTCGGCGATCATGTTGGCCTTGACATCCTCCAGAGTCAGGTGTACACCGTTCTTCGGGTGTACCGTGGTAGTCGAAGCCTGGGACATGACTGGTAGTGCACCGGACTCCCAGCAGTGAACATGGGCGCGATGGTCGAGGAGAACCGTGTGTGGCGGCTGGGTCAGATGGGTTCGAAGGCAGATCTGGTTACCCTGGGTGCCGGAGACTACCCAAAGTGCAGCTTCCTTGCCCGTCAAGCTCATCAATCTTGCCTCGAGTGCCTTGACTGAGGGGTCCCCCTGTGCGTCGTAAATGTCATCGTTTACTGTTGCCTCAATGATTGCCTTCAAAAACGTGAAAAGTTAGTAAACCTAGCGATCGACCGTGGAGAGCTTTTCGGAGTGCGGCTACCTGCATCATGTCCTCGGTGGGCACCGTGACAACATCAGAGCGAAAGTCTCTGGACGCCTTGTCTGCCGCGGCGGCCAATTTCACCTTGGCCCCCGGCGTGAACACTGCTGCCTCGCCGTTCATTGAGGAAGACATTGTCCAGAAAGTGCTTTATGAGCAAAGATTTTCTAAAATCTTTAGCTGAAACCCAAGACTTTGCGCGTGTGGAAATCTTCGTAGAGGCCAAGTGTCGTAAGAGGATCGCAACTGCTACTGCATCGATACCTTTATGTTATCAAAAAACGGGGTAGATAGATACTTGGTCGAGAGGTTTCCCGCGGGAAATCCAGCCTATGCGGGGGACGACCGAGACATGTCGATCTCTCCGAGGAATCGGAGGTCGTGATACGGCGAGCCCCAAGGCCGAGGTCAACCGCCCCATCTTCGATGGACATGGATTCCCCGTGGGGTTGACGTCTTCCCCGGATTGCGCCTTGCCTTCCAAGCCACGTAAAATTGCAACTTGTTTGATGAGAACTGCGGATTGCAATGTATCATGAACTGTAAAATGTACGCCAGTACGTTTAAATAAACACTGTCAAAATAAATCTGCACAGAAGAACTAGACCCACGAGCACCAAGTCCCCTTCAAGAAGTGCCTCCATGAGTCGTGAGAGTATTGACAGTTGCCATCAAAGTGAAGAGCAAGAAGCACCTGATGCAGAACAACCCATGTACATGTTTGACTCGCCAACCCTCTCTGACATTGTTCTTTTGACATGAAAGGTTATTGTACTTGAACAGAACTCGTCTTATTGAACGCATGGCCAGACACATTCAATCCGATTCCGTGAGCTGAGACAAATCGGTTGATTCCGTGATGAAAACAGCCTCTCCACCAATGACCACACGGGGGTCTTCTGGCTTGTGCTCATCTGAAGCACAGCAGCTGTCCTCAGCGGTGTGCGCAGGTAGTTCCTCCAGAGAAGAAGGCCCCTCGGCATCGCCAGACTCGACCCGATCCGAGCACACTTTGCAGGAGTCGTCCTTTCCTTCTTGAAGCAAAGTGTACAGGGCGATAAAACCAAAAAGAACCATTCTCAGCCAAGGGTAGTCGGACATCGCCACAGTGATATGTCCCACGAAGGGAATCATGCCGACCACCCTTCCAGCAACCGCATCTGGAGACAGATAATCCTGGCCTGCTGGATACAAGCCAGTGTCGTCGACGTTGTTGTTGTCGCCCTTGGTGAGGAGCTTGGGTTGTCCTCTGAGCACGGTCAGTAAGGGACACGTGAGGGAAAGTGAAGGGGGAAAGCAACTTACTCATCGACGAACGTCCCGATAACGCGATGGACGATGGGGAAGGGCATGTTATCCACGTTGTAGACGACGACGTCACCGACGGCGGGAGATGAGGTGCCCCATATGATGAGAAGATCCCCGCGAGCGAATGCAGGCTCCATGGAGCCGCTCAGTACGACGGTCAACGGGTTGGCGGTTCCGGAAATGACGGTCAATGCTTTGTATGCCTTGAATCGGTTCAGTTACTGCGCTGCCTGTGTTCAGGTTGGATGGAAGCCTTACCATGAAGAATGTACTGAGAGAAATGAAAGTCGTGAGCAGCTTGGCGGCTGACTTCCGCGAGCTTTTCATAAAGGAAAACATCGTTGCGAGTTTAGTGAGGGCCTGGTTCAATGGCTGAGGTGAAAGATTTTGAGATGGCGATTTTGAATAGTGAGGTTTGTGGTCTGAGAAGATGGGATACGTGAACCGGGAAACTCATAGACGTTTTTCCCGGGAAGCAGAGCCTCTTATATAGGTTACCAAAACAAACTTTGTCCGTAGCTATCCACCAACCATGGATCAAATAGTTTTGCTATTGAAGGTTTTCCCAGATATGGTTGCAGTGAATCATCGGAGATGGCCTACACCCGGATGCCTACATACACTTAGAATCCCACAAGGCAGACGACATGGAATAGTAGTATCAAGAACAACAAAGGTTGCAGCAACACTAGCGCTCTAGGCTGTCGGAGAAGACTCCACCTGTGATCTACGCTTAGACACACTTATCAAGGTATTGTTTCCCCTGCTCTCTCGCGGCATCCACGATGTTCTTTCTCCAATCTCCGACTGCGTCTTGCTCGTGCTCAACGTTCACGTAGTCCCACGACAACAGGTCCTCGGCTCGAGCCCCATTCGGGTCATCCAATAAACCAACAGCAATCCTCAAGGTACCCGGCTGGTCTTCGATGGTGCAGAAAACACTGGCAGCGCATTTGCCACAGAAATACTGATGCGTGCCAGAAGAGCTCTTGTAGTGCTTGAGAGTCCCAAAGCGAGTATCTTCTGAGTCGTTTACAGACTCCCGTAGAGTGTCGATAGAGCTTGGGAAATCAGAAGCGTTGGTTTGCCCTTCGAAGGTGACATGGGAGAGAGGCGCACAAGCCCAGAATGCCAGTTCGGTGCCCATAGCGGCACGAGACGAGTCGCTCGTGTCAACGACGGCCTTGAACTTCAGCATAGCGGGGTCTATAGCCCATGGGAGCCCCTCACTTGACGCAGCTCTGATATCTCGCGGGCTCCGCAAAGAGAAAGAAACCCCTTTACAATGACAATAGATTGATGTCGAGGCTGGCGGGTCCGCGTTGACCAACGGGTCGAATTCTGGCCATGACAGAGGAACCTGCTCACTCTCCCCGTACTGTCCCCTGAAACGCATGACGGTGTGCTCTCTGTCGCCTTTTGGCAGCCAAAGCGCTGCACCGCCATCAACGGTATCGTCGAGAAACATGTGGCTGGCGTACTTGACTAGCCCCGGAGAGTTGCTCAGAGCACCGGTTGTGGCCCAGGGTGGCTGTTGCTGCTCTTCAATGCTGGTGCCGCGTGCGAAGAGTATCGTGGAGCAGGTATCGCAAGAGAACAAGTCAATGTCCTTGGAACGGGAATACTGCCTGAGACCAGAAAGGTCTACGGCAGCGGTCGGCCATGGCACCGAGCTACAATACAGTGATCCAGATTGATGACGGCATGAAGTGCAGTGGCATGAGATCGCTTCCAAAGGCAGGCTAGATCGACTAACAGACGTCGTGTAGGTGTGCGCCCTGCACAAGCATCGAAGTGACAGTCCGATGAGTTTTTCCATGGCTCATATGTTGACTGGATGGTCGGAGTCGCGATGTGATATTTCTTCAGGTAGTAGGTTGAGTTTGAGTGATTATGGTAGTTTGGAATTATCTCCAGTGCTAACTTGACGTCTAAATCGAAGTTATAGATCGTCGGCTGCGGCACCGGGCGGAACTTTGGACGGCATGCAACGGTGGGACAGTCGGGGGCTGCGTCCGCCCCGAAACCCCGGGGGCGTGGGGTCTGCTGGTGACTCACGCCGAAAGGTCAACTTCTATCTCCACAAGATTGATCTTAAATCAGTAATCAGTCCGAGCACAAAGGTTTGCATAGTAGCTCATCACTTAGAGAACGGATGAAGTGTAATTCTTTAGAATTCGAAATAGGTCGAGCACCGATACGAATGCAATAGACGATTGTGCCATCATGCATGTATTCTTATGTTTGAAGCAGTTTTTCGATTGGAGTCTGAAAAGAAAATATAAAGATCTACCAAAACAACAACTCGCTTTCTGAAAACAGTCGCTATGATTCAATGCCTGCTGCACATAAGTTGAATACCCCAAGTCGACCTCTAACACCCTACGAGGCGTCGCAAGTCAGAGAACCAGCGCCCAAGTCATTGCAGATGCCACTCGTTGTTTTTCCCTATTAAAGAAGTGTGAGCCATATTATCTTTATATCGGAGGAATTAGTAGTTGTCCTACATTGCAAGTCCTAGTGCATGCTTGAAGTCTTGTGTCGCACTTGGACTCAGAAAAAGTACAGCAGTTCAAGCTCGGGTCGCATTTCTGCGGTTCAGGGATAGCCACAGCCGAAATGAGAGTAAAGAGAGAAACGAAAGCGAGAACGAAACGCATATTGATGAGTAGACTTGCAGTTCAGACGAGAAACTTCAATGACAGGCGGGAGATGTCGTGAGGCTGACGGGTTGATGAGTTGGAAGGTTGATGAGCGACTAAGATGATATTCTTTCTGGAAATGCAAGACCGAGGCAAGGTAACTTATAGTTCTTTCTTCACAGAATCAACGCATCAATAGTAGGTCGGCGATTATATGCGCCAATCACAATGTCACGAGTCAAGGAACTCTCTTTGATTGCTGGCGACATTGAGATCGCCGTCCAACCGCCAGTTAATTGCAGTCTCCTGATATCAACACTATCAGATGGCTTCAATAGTTGACAGAACAAGGGTTCTGGGCTCCTTTGGTTCGTAATGCTAATGGCTATCTTTGCCTGGTTTCTATTTATTTGCGACTACCTTGCTGCGGTGAAGTTGAATGTAAGGTCTGGAACAGGTGTTGCAAAGACCTCGGTGGTCCCGAGTGTTTCGGGAGAGTGGATCCAGATCGAGATAGATTGTCTCACGGACAGCGCCCAGAATAGAACAGGTCTTAATAAGACGTGTATCAGTAAAACTTGGCGACGAAGTGTCTACAGATGTGTTTTCGCGTTGCTAGAAACGCGACATGAGTCCCGGGGTGCAATTTCAGTGGCGAATGGCAGGAACTCAAGCAGTCGGATTTGGTTCTCGTCATTTCTATGAATCCATCGAAGCTGAAGAGAACTCTTTTTGTAATCAAAACAAGATGTCTCTCAAGACATCCGTGCAAGGACTTCGCGAGATAGACCCCAAGTCGACGACAACTCCCCAAGGGTGTGGTTCAAATACTGGAACTCCTCAGATATGCCGAACGCTTTTGCAGAGTGACTTGCTTGTACGGCGCCATATACAAAAATCAGAGGAGCATGCTGGAGGCCGTACTGATTTCTGTAAGTGCGCAGAAGAAATGTTACATCCTGAGCAGATGCGACGCAATAAAGGCGACACTTTTCATCCATCTCGCCGCCACGCGAAGATATGGCTTGATCATAGTTCAAAGCAAGTCGAGTACTGTGGAACAAGATACTTCACGGATATCCAGTCAGTTCTGTTCTTCTTTTGGTATGTGACACGTTTCAGTACGTACTGTAAAGCCAGAACCCCGGGTATTGGCTTGGATGAAGGACCCCATTTCTGCCATTTCGCAAAGTCTGGTAACGTCTCTCGCCATCGGTTTAGTTCTAAATTGATGTTGTCGAAGCAAATGCGCCGACTGATGGCATCAAGATGAGATCGCGGAGAAAACAGTGTCGACATCATCCGTTCTATGATTCTCGACAGGCGGATCTGCTCGTGCAAATAAGGGATCATGGATGTAGCTTTCGTGAACTCGGTGTAGTCGTTATCGAAACCCACTGGTCGCCACAACGCCATTTCAGGTGGTTCACTATGCATGATTTTATGTTAGTGCTGAACTTGCACAAGGCACCCGCTGATTCAACATACGGCAAAGTTTCCATTGGCTGAACTTCTGCTTCCTCGTAGACGAGATACACTGGACGACCGAGTACGAGACTGATCAGCTTATCGGAGATGTAACAGCCCCAGTAAATGCGTCTGCGAATCTCAACGTCTTCGGAAGTTGCAAGAGAGGAGTCATGCTGGACCCAATCTTTCGGATCTCTCTGAAAGCCCAAGTCTTGAGCCATGCGAAAGGCAATGCCTAGGCTTTTGCTTAGCGGTCAAGTTCATGGACTTGTCACTCGCAGAGAGTGAAATTTCAGAATGCCAACAGAGATGCTGCTTACCAGAATAGCCCCATCCCTTCGACAGATTACCTCTTCCAATCTCGTAGAATGCAAGGCAGAGGAAAGCCTGCACAGTAGCAATCGATGGTCTTGTCAGACCAGTCACCATGATTATGCTTTCTGCCGCTAGGAAGAACTGATCACTGGAGGCCTTGGTTTCCAGCGATACGAGTGCTCCCAGGGCGCATATGGAAAGGAGAAGGGCCGATGACCAATACTTCCCCTTCTTCCGGTCGCCGAAATGATCTCGTAAAAAGGCCTCGCGATAGATGAACATAAAGTGCGGATATTGCCACCGGAAGAATTGCGTTAGAGACTTCATGACGACTTCATCGTCCATGCTAATGCCGAAGTGCTCCATGACACTTTCGAAGTTCGACTCAACTCCGTCGTAGTACCCCTGAAGAGCAAGGTCGCCGACGCCTGTCTGTCTTTGATCTGCCTTGGTACGGAAAATACTCGTTGCTCCATGATAGACAAGCGACCCCTCAAGTCCCAGCTCAAGATTTGCTTGATTGCCTGAACTGATGCCGAGCTGAGTGACGTATTCACTCGGAGGGTTCGTCTTGCTCCCCGCGGAGTCCTCGTCCGGAGTGGCTGAGTTCAGCATCTCTTCTCGCTGGTCTGGCGTTGCGGCGCGAAGGTTCTTGATGAATGACTCAAACCAAGACAGTCGGCTTTCCAGGCTCGCGACGTACTCATGCGAGACTGGTACTCTCTTTCGGTCGACTTCGCGGTACTCGCATGTCGTCTTAGCCGTAACACAATTCGGGCATGGTTCGGTACGCGAGCATTTCAACTAACGTCGACTTGTTAGGGACATGATTCGGATGGAATAGTCCTCCACAGGCCCAGTCACTAACCTTTCTGTACTGGCATCTTTTGCATCTGTTTTCATTAGCTCACCATCAACTAAAAGAAACAATGCATGACTCACGAAATTTTCTTGACCTGCTTAGTTGAGCTTGGAGGCATGATGTGAAGTCCAGTATTCCAGATATCTAAACAGAGGTCATGTGGTGAATGAAGGTTGCGAGAGCCAAGTTGCAGAATGGGGCGCCCCCCCTGAAATACGGAGCTGGACCGCGCTAAAGTTACCGGAGCCTCCCCGGTCATTGTCCGATCACGGCTTCCGGGCAAAGCTGCCTTCGAATCACTGACATCAGAACACGAACACCGTATCCGAATCCCCGCGGAAAATGATTTCTTGCATTCAAAGGTGGTAATTAAACGACATTCGCTGCTTCGTTCCTATCTCATCATCTGCCTCCGAGTCTACTCAGCTTGTATTCCTTCCTGAAGACCCGACTTGAGAACGGCAACGAGCCTTTCCACATCATCCAGGTTATTGTAAAACCCAAAGGATATCCTAATGCCCGAACGGAATCTGGTTGCTACAATACCGGCCGCAGTGAGATGACCAAGCCACCGAGGATCATGAAGTCGAAGGACGTGGAGGTGCGGTGCGTGGTGCCCCCTCTCCGCAGGCCCCACGATGCCGATACCGAGTCCAGCACAAGAACGACGGAGAGCGTCGCCGAGCTCGTATAGATGGTTCTCTACGTTCTTCGGGCCCATCACCTCGAGGTAAAACTCGAGAAATGCTCGTGCTGCAACCGCTGAGATGAAGCTCATGTTGGCGTGCTCGTACCGACGAGCGGTCGGGTGAAAGACTATTGGCTCTTCTGAAATCATGAAGTCTTCTGAATCATTGATGCTACTCACACCTCCGTAGCCGACGAGTGGAGGTGTTGGGTCTAGCTCTTTGATGACGGCAGAGTCCACGTAGAGAACGGCGAAGCCTGTTGGTGTGTTGAGGCCTTTATGCAGGCTAAATGCTGCAGCCGAAACTCCCAGAGCTTCTACATCGACACCGGCGAATCCGACCTGCTGGGTCAAGTCTGCAAGGACATGGATTCCTCTGGGTCTGTAGACAGAACAGACATCAGCGATGTCATTCCATTGTCCGCTGTGGAACATGATCGAGCTCAGACCGATGGCTTTTGTTCGATCGTCCACATAAGGCGCAAATGTTTCTGCTGTTGCAGCAGCAGGATTCTCCGGGTCTGTTGGTACGAGTCTGACGTTGAGTCCACGGGAACGAAGAGCCAGCCAGCCAAAGGCTTGGTTTGGGTGTTCGCAGTCGAGAATGACCACGTTATCCCCGGGATTGAATTTCAAACCGTGAATGAAGCTTCCAAGTCCCTCAGTCGTGTCGCGAACAAAGGCGATCGAGGATGGCTCGGTGTTGATGTACTGGGCCAATAACTTGCGGACTTCCTCGACATCTTTTCTCCAGCAGGACTTCGGCGAGGGGTGGTGAAGTGACTCGGAGCAGAAGCGGGAGATGGCTTCGTTGACGATGAGATTCGATGGCGGCATAAAGCCGGCATTCAAGTGCGTTGTCTTGCCGTCGCTGACCAGGGGTACCAGACGGCGAAATATCCCAAAGTCGGCCATTGAGTCTTTGGGAAGAGAGTCCTTCGGGCCTTTGATGGGATCCAAAGGCTCCGCATTAAATGATCTCTGGGTGCTTAAAAGAGCCATATTATCTGATATTAGAGAATGTTAGACGTGATGGGAGGTATCATATAGCAACACTTTTCTCGGGGAGTCTCTCATTCATATTATATCCTACTTTCCGCTGGTTAGTAAATCCCGTCTCACAGCGATGGCTCCCGGAGTTCGATGCCCGTTGTTAGAAAATTTGGCCCACGATGCTAGCTTAACAGATGATGCAATTAGTGTTTTTGACGTGCGACTTCGGACGCGAGAACGAACCATCAGACTTGTCGTCAGGCAAACTCATCCGGGCGCCGGCGGCGGTGTCCTGGCGTGATCAACTCCGGCCGATGAGCACCGGTGGTCCACAACGGAGTTGCAAGTCCACCCACTCAGAGCACGCTCCTGGGACCCATGTTGCCATTTCCGGTCCTCGCGATCCTCGGACTTTCAACTCCATGGTGGAGATTTACGGACGTGGCTGGACGATAACTTGGGCCGAGCTCATTGCAGTGATCAGCTGCATTTGCCAGAAATTTCATTCATGCGGAAGGGGCAATTAAGAGGTCTTTTACGTGGCAGAGGTCTGCTTTTGTGTGTGTTTTGCTCAAGGAAACCACGACTTGGTGGATTGGCCAGCGACCGTTTTCCATGAGGCCAACTGTTTCTTCGCGGCCAAGAAATCCAGCCATTGTAAGCCGGTAAAAAAAGCAAGACAGTGGTCCCGAGCTTCCACTTACTGCTCTTTGAAATCAGCGAAACCCGCGCGGAGCAAAGTGAATGAGTGTTGATTTGTCTCGTTATTTGATAGAATGTCTATGTCACGCCTCTCCGGAAGACGCCATTGAAAGGCAAACAAGCATGAAACAGCACGGACATCATGGTACTTATAGATCGAGCAGATAATCTTGAACGAATATTTATCTTTGATTAATGGCTAATACTATCAATCTCCCCAAGCTCAGACGCGGCACATCCTGCCGTCGTTGGCAACGCTCCACTGCTCGCTGCCAACTGCGTTGCGAGCGTAGAAGAATCCCTCGGGATCCCACTTCTTCTTGAGGCACAAAAGAGAGTTGTAGTTGCTGCCGAAGAACTCCTTCTGGAAGTTGGGCTGCTGGAAATCGGCCTCGTTCATGTAAGCACCGCCGGTAGGGGTGAGGGCCTCGATCTCCTTCATGATGACGTTCGTCATCAGATCCTGGTTGGCGACCATCTCCTCCCAGGGAGCAGTGAAGTTCCAGACCGTGGTGAGGGTGGCGTGAACGAGAGCGTTACGCCAGGCAGGGGTGACGGAGTTGGTGTCCTTGTTGCCGAACTTGCCAACATCGGTACCGACGCCGATGAACGTCGCGCCCTTGGCGGCGACGCTGCGGGAGAAGGAGCCGATCTTGGTGATGTCGTCGCGGGGGATGAGGCGGCCGCCGTATTGGGCGATGCCGACCTGGATGTTGCCGATGGGCAGAGGTCCGAAGTACTTGTCGTAGTGGCCGTAGTAGCTGTCGAAGTCGGAGTAGGCGACGGTGTACTTGATGCCGAGACCGTCGAGACGGGCAACGAAGGGAGCAAGGATGGTCTTGACCTCCTCGGAGGTCTTGTTGAAGGCGTTGAGAGGAGCGATCTGGAAGAAAGCAGCGGCAAAGTAGTAGACAACCATCGTCTCGTTGTCGACCATACCAGCAAGCTCCTCGTGGAAGGCGTCGATAGCGTTGAAGAAGGCCTCGTTGTCGTTTTCGGCAGCTTGGATGACGAGAGTAGCACCGCCAACCTTGGCATCAGCGTGAGCCTTCACAGTCATGGAGGTGACGACGCCCCAGTTACCAGGGCCACCGCCAGAAAGAGCCCAGAAGAGGTCGGCGTTCTCGGTCTTGGAAGCAGTAACGAGAGTACCGTTGACGGTGACAACCTCCCACTCAAGGACGTTATCGGCACTCAAGCCGAAAGAGGTAGAGAGGGCAGAGTGACCGCCGCCCTGGGTGTAACCACCGGCGATACCAACAGTAGGGCACTCTCCACCAACGACGGCAAGACCGGCGTTGTGAGCGGCCTCCATGACCTCGAAACCCTGAGTGCCGGCGCCAACCTTGGCGGCCTTGCCGGTGTAGGCAGTAGTGTCCCAGTCGACGATGCTGACGCTGTTCATGTGGTGAGTCCACACAGAGAGAGCTCCAGCACCGGTGGAGCGACCGAGGTAGTCATGGCCGGTGTTGCGGACGACAAAGCGGATGTTGTGTTCCTGAGCGAAGGCGATGGCGGCTTGGACGTGCTCGGGTGTTGTTGCGTCAACAGCGTAGACGACGTAGTTGCCCAACAAACAAGCGCGAGACTGCGGTTGGAAGGGGTCGCAGCTCTGGTTGGCGAAGAAGGGAGCCATGATGGAGGAGGAGGACTCCATGCTGCACACATATTAGATCATGCTTGCTATTATTTGGCAGCAACACTTACTGGATCTCGGAGTCCTGCCACTTGCTCTGCAGAGTAGCGCAAGTGGCGGCATCGTAGGTGGGATCATGGCAAGGCGAGCCCAGAGGGACGGTAGCGATCAGCTTGCCACCGACGGTGGTGTTGAGGGCATTCCACGTTTCCGTGGAAGGCCAGCAGCTGTCACCAGGGAAGCACTTGCAGTCACCGGCAGCGCGCTCGGTGAAGGAAGATGCCAGGCCGGTGAACGGCTGGTTCGGGGCGGCGAGGGCGGCGCCGGCCAAGGCCGCTTGGAGGACAATGCTCTTCATCTTGACTTGGGAGGGAGGAGGGGGAGAGCAAACGAAAGGACAACGCGCGAACGAGTGAGACACAAGATCGGCACGTTAGACGGCTGGGAGAGTAAAAGAGAGTGAAATGCCGCTGGATCCCTTCATCAAAAGAGAGTTTTTTTCTGCTCGCCGATGGCCAAGGGCGGCCATTTTAGTACGATGCGAGTCTGCATCTAACCCGGCCCCCCGGGACTACGGCATGGAGGTTCCATTCCCATATCCTAGGGGAGTCGTTTCCCGACTGGGATGGCGGCGCCGAGATTGAGAGCCTATAAGACGACTTCGCCTCGCGAACTAGTGGAAGTTTGCCGCGTACGGCCTGACTTGATGCTGATGAATCCATCCTGCTCGTAGGGGCATCTTGATAGAGGGATAAAGAGACCAGCATCGATGCCAATGCAGCACCGCTTGTGGCTGAACTCCTTGGCCCCCATGCCTAGACTCATCCTTCGAGGGGTTAGGTGTTGGGGTTTGTGGAGCCGGAACGAGGACATTACCGGCCTAGATATCGACTAGATATCAGGGGTGATGGATGTCTCGGGAGTCGGTCGTTGAGTTGAGTGTCCGCTTCACATTGTTGTCGCCTCGGGCGGCGGTGTTGTGCCTCCAACGGACCAACTCCCACATTTTCCAATTGAATCAGGGCCCGGCCAAGGAGTAATCCGTTCTTATGGCATGATGGTGGAATCTGGCCCAGGCTGGCTGACCTCGGTGAAGGTCCACGCCGCACGTTTGCGTCGTGCCAGAGTCTTGTTCAGCGGGACCTCGAGCGGGTGCAGATCAAAGGAGTCAGGTGCCCCGGCAGATAAAGCTTGGCCCCTTCGCTTCCGATCAAGCTGCTGCAGAACTCGCAGGAGTTCCTTGCAGACTGCCGTTCGCTTGCAGCTTGAGACGCGAACCGCCATGTTGACTCCAACGGTTGAGGTTCTTGGTGAGAACCGGCCTGGATGTCTCGTTGGTGCGGATGAAAAGTTGCACTGAAGAAATTCCCGGACTTTACCTCGGCGTTTTTGAGGACTCTGCTATGATCGGGCGCGACCTGGGTCGGAAATTGAAGCTGCGGGGATCTCTTCAGCAAAGTCTATTCGGACCCTCGTCGGCAGTGGGGAGTCTTCTCACCATCGTATCCTTGTCTCTTAAAAGAGGATCTCTAAGAGGCCCCTCATCTTTTCTCAGGGGAGCTGCAAGGGCCTCGTCGCGGTCCAACCAATGATTCGTCATTTGCTGTCGAAGATGAAATCTTTCCAAGATTCGGTTGAAGCCGCATCGTACGAGGCGCCACATGTCGATAACTGGGGGGAAGGGGATGGTTACGAGGCAGCAAGCGTCAGCTTCGGTGTATCTCGATCAGAGCAGTGCATCTCTGATTGTAGATTTATGAGAATGTTGCATCTTTGACTAAGCGTCGCAACTCCAGTTCCTGGTTTTGGGTGACATAGCTCGCCGCAGTTTGGATTTCCAAGGATGTGCTTCTCTTGGCCCAACAAATGAGCCGGCCATAATCGATGACCGAAACATTCGTCCAAACTTGAGATGTTCGAGGATTTGTGTTTACGTGAAGTAAACAAACTTGATGAAGCATTCAATCTGATATCTCGACTGGATCCGCATCATCCACGATCATCCATGACGAAGAAGAGATGGCAGGAGTTGTGCGAGTTGAGACTTTATGCAAGGCCAGAGAAAACTCGACTTCGCAGCACAGACTCTCGTCCCGTCCCGACGACTCGGTCCACATTACGCCTGGCCAGGCCTTCCTTCATCAGCCTTCGGATCCGAAAGCGACTTGAACAAAAGATCATGTTGTTTTCCCTACATATATGGATTCCAATCTCCCATTGTCAAAGCGCACCGAAAAGTTCAGGTCACACGGATCAACTCCATTCCCTTGATACCTTTGTCCACGTTTAAAAGCTAATTTTCTTGGCTCCGCAGGACCCCGAGAGGTGGGTTGTCCCGGAAGACCCTGGGGGAACTGGTTTTCTGGAGACGCCCTTCACCTGCAGGCTGCATCTTCACCCTGTATACTCACCTGAAAAGCGGCATCCTTGAGAACTTCTGGAACTTCTTCTTCCTCGGTGGACCGGCAGAAGCCAGGGGAGAAACAGGCGAGCCAGTCCGGCTTTCGCGGTCCCACGTGGTGGCACAGCTGTCTTTCAACCAGTTTTCTTTATCTTGGCTGCTTGACGAACAAGAAAAACCCAGACTTCACAACCATGGAACATCACCACCGTCGACTAAGAGCCGTTGAAACGTTGCAAACACCATTCCCTCAAGGAAGAACCTTCATGCTCTCAACCTGCTTGTATAGGGATAGCATGTCGATACTAGAGCAGACGAACTTTACCACACATGGGCAATTGCCCGAACCAGCATGTCTCGGACAGGGATATCCTCGTATGCCACACACACTCAGAACTGAGTTGTCGTCGCGACACAGACCAAGTCGGGCCACCTCGGACTGCTCGAATCCACTGCGCGAGCTACAGATTGCAGGTCTGCCAGGCTAGACCTAAGTACAGTTAGGTCGCCAAGTTGTCAAAATCCCCGGCTGTCACCTTCGCAGCTGTGCGCAACAATTCTTCAACGCGCCATTCTAGCCCCCAATATGATATATCACTCCCGTGTTGTCAAAAGTCCAGGAAACTGGGAGGGACCTGTCACCGCGTTTGGTTTAGATTGAGGCTCTTCGTGCCAGTATCACGACTGGGCGGTACCGAAGTCGTCAGCTCGGGAGAAATCCGTCATCGGGACTCGAATTCCATCGCCGCCGCCAGTTACAGTCGTTTGCAAGAAATCCTCCCCCACTGCGTCGTCCGAGTGGGAGGCAACAAGTTTTCCATCGCCATCATCCCTGGGCCTGCGCTAATTAGTGCCGCGTACAATTCAATATGGTGCATAGCACGCCCAGGGGACCTGCAGGGTTCCGGCGTGCCGCGGCCAGCTTTTCTTCTAGAACCCTAGATTCCTCGGTCAGGCGAAGGCTTCGAAGTGACTGGTCGCAACTGAAGGTGTTTTGCAAGATGCAGGCCGGGGCCGGCTCGTCTCCAGGACGCTCCTGAAATGCAACATCGGCACGGTCTCCGGCGGGGGTTGAGGAAAGAGGGCTTGCCTCGTACCCCGTATCCCGCCCTCGTGGCTCTCCCAAAGTCCTCACCAACATGCATCTTGCGAGCGAGAGTGGGCGCCTGGCTTGTTTTCCTTGTCGATGATCCGAGGGATGAAGCCGGAGGAGAAGGCGCAGCCCACATCTCACACACATTCGGCATAGAAACCTTACAAAGTTCGTCCTTGCAGCCGGCTTGGCCGTTACTGGAAGTGTGATATCTTGTCTGTTCTCCGACAGGGGATGGCCTCTCTCGCCCAGATGCTCGGGACTGGCGCCATTCCAAGACGTTGGGACCGAAAGCAAGGCATGCACAAGAAGGGAGAAACTTTGAACTTTGATGAAGAATATTAGTCCTGTTATCTCCCATGCCTTAACCTCCACTTCCCCCCATCTTGGCGCACATATTGATGGGCTGGTGAGAGCAACACACAAAACTCGTCTGATGAAGTTATGAAGGAAGACCTGCCCAGATAAAGCGGTCTGAAGCCATCTGGGCTCCGCCACTCCGTCCACTTCCCGTCTGGTCCTTTCCATCTTCCTTCCCCGACCTGCTAGGGTGACGCGTCGGTTCGATCGGCTAGCTAGCAGCTGCTTCCCACCCTCCCGTGCATCCTTCGCACCTGCCCTGAGGATATACCACCACAGACACTCAGCCTTACCTGAAGGCTCGAGCTTCCATCGACTTGCTCCAGAAGAGGTTATTCGGAAGGTCGATCACGATGAGTGAATCGTGGACATACAACACCCCGCCTGGGACGGACTCCGATGGACCCAGAATCACGGCCATTGCTTTGGTTTTCACGGCTCTGTCGTTAGTCATCATGTCTCTACGACTATACGTCCGCTTGGGAATGCTGAAGGCAGCTGGGTCAGGTAAGCATCAACAACTCCATACTTTGATTCCGACCTCTAAAGGAAAGCATACTGACGTTGGTTCTTGCAGATGACTGGGTCATTATATTCACCTGGGTAAGACAACTTCTTGAGAAGGTTCCATGGACAACACCCTAACCATGCCACTTCAGTTTGCTGCTTGCGGATTCTCCGTTGTGAGCGTCTTGCGTAAGTTCTTGTCATCACCCGTCTCTCTGTTGAATGTTCTGACGAGATATAAAGAGACAAAATGGGGTCTTGGACTCAAGAAGTTGTCCGACATGCCGGAACAGAATCTCTTTGACTTTGGTCTTCTGCAATATGCCGGAGCTCCATTGTAAGTGTCCCGAAGCATCAATTTCCAGGCGAGTCTGACGAAACGCAGCTATATCTCGAGCATCCTTGGGTTCAAAATCAGTCTTCTGCTGTCCTATCTTCGATTTATTCCCAAGGGTATCTACAGATGGTGTACGTTCGCAACCATCGGACTGTGTATTGCCTATCACATTGCTTTTCTGGTTGTTCAGCTCAATCTTTGCACGCCGGTAAGTATCTTCTTGCCCATCCGAATTGAAGTTCAATGCTGACCCCTCGCAGATCGCCAAGCAATGGGATCCTACGATCACGAATGGCTCCTGTATTCCAGGAGTTCCCTTTTACACCAGCATGGCTGCCTTGACGATTGTCTTCGACATCATTGTGTACGTCTTGTACCTTCAACCGCCGTCTTTCCTCGCAGCTGACACATCATCAACAGCATGTTCCTTCCGTTCCCCGTTCTCGCCACCTCGAAGATCCAGAAGCGCAAGAAGTTCGTGCTGCTCGGCCTATTCGGTCTCGGCGCCTTCATCACCGTAATCCAGATCATCCGCATCCAGACCGTCCACTCCCTCGCCAACTACCTCGACTCAGCGCCGCTCATCATGTGGTCCACCATCGAAAACAACCTCGGAATCATCGTCACCTGCGTGCCGACCCTGGCACCCTTAGTCAAGTACTTCAACGAGAAGAGCAGATCAGGGAGCAGGAGCAACAAATACGGCGGAGCGAGCGGCTACGGACGCAGTGGCGCGACGGGCCAAGGAAACGTCGGAAGCAGATACGCGCTGCAGAGCTGGAGACCCGGGATGAACGGTATGCAGCCGTTGAGCAGCGGGATTGATCGCAGCGAGGCGGCGGTGGACATCGAGTCGGGCTCGAGGAGGGGAATGGGGAAGAGTTCTGATGACGACAGCGCGGATTATCACCTTGACGCGCCTGTTATTGTGAAGAAGACGGAGTTTGTGGTCACGAGCAATCCGAGGGAGCCGGGGCAAGCTGTTTGAGGGATGGAAGATGATATTTCCTGTGTGCTTATGAATGATACCTACTTAAGAACTAATCTTTGAGGCCGGTTGCTAGCACTGGCAGCGCGGGCCGCATGTGCTGCATCACACGAATCTCTCCCTCATATTCATTTGTGCCAAGGTTTGGTAAAAGCCAAATAAAGAAGCGGGCTCAGTAATTGTGATAGTCGTCGATTCTGACCCAGTCATCCCCATTGATAGTAGCGTCGTTGCCTTCACCATTGGGGACGCCATCATTACAATGGTCAGGGTCTGCGGCATCCATAGTCAGTAACACGGACTTCTCAGTTCTGGGCCCAACCAAGCACTTACAACCATCGGATCTCTTCGAATCTCCATCTTGGATATCTTGGATGCCGGAGTCGACGTCGGTGATGTCCGCCAGATCCAGGTCATCGCGAAGCTGACGGACATGCTGCAGCAGGAACTTGATATCGCGGACCAGCTTGTCGGCGTCCGCGAGTAGTTCGTTCACTTTCTGACTGCTGGGTCCGCTGAAAGAGTTGGTGTTCTCGGGATAGACGGCGGCGGGAGTGCGATCCGGCCCATATGGGCTGGGGGAAGTGGTTCTCGTCTCGGCGAGGACATAGGAGGCGCTGTTCCTAATGGTACTGTAGATGTCGGAATGGGGGTGGTCATGAGCACTCTCGCTAAGGTCGTCTAGCTCGTCGTCGTCGTCCTCCTCATCCTCCTCCATGAACTCGGCAGCCTCGACAGCCTTATCGACCTCTCCGTCGTACCAAGTCTGGAAGCGGGAAAAGTCCTCGAGGTGATACCTCCAGGCGTCACAGATTCTGGAAGCCTCGCGCCAATGCTCTTCGCAGACGTTGAACCCAGCCGCAGGGGTCAGCAGGAGGTGCGAGGCAGCTTTCAAAGGCGACATTTCCGACAGCTTATCGAGGCACCTCTGCTGGCGGCGAGCCGATTCCGACGAAAGAGTAACCCCGCATGGTTTCTGGGTGATGTAGTTGTGGCCGAGGCAGGTCGGCTTGTTAAGGGAGATTCCGAAGACGAACTCCGGGTCCCACATCTTGGTTTGTGAAGCCATCGTTGAATAGGAAGTTTGCCGAAGACAGGATGATATGAAGTGAGAATAAATGCTGACTGGAACGCACTTGGAAAACTTGCGTAGGATTCTGCTGTCGCGGACTCTTTGTTGGTTCTGCGAAATGGATTGCCAGAGAGGATGAGTGATAAGTGTTGGGTTTGTCTGATGTGGTGGGCTGGAGGTGCCTTTAAATTCCCGGGTGATCACATATCTCCGAAGTCAGCCAACCCTTATGAGCGGAGGAAGATTTAGACATCATCTATTCCGTGGGTGACCAGAACTATCCATTCCTGACCCTGTTTGTTTAAGAAAAAAGAAGACCTTGCAGGCCGCGAGGGTTGGGGACCTTGATCTCCGAAAGCATTCTTAAGCAGAGACTTGCATGTTGAAAGACAAATGGTGATCTTCGGTGTAGTTCTTGGGGACAACATGAAGCAGAATAGCATTGAAGCGGTTTGCACTCTTTCTCTAGACTTGCCTTCATGTGTATGGACGAGCGCACCGGAGACTCCTTAAGCTTGAAGCCTGGGGTTATTAGTCAAAGGTGACAACCTTGGACAAGAAGAAAAGGACAATGTGAGCTGAATAAGGTACCAGAGACGGGTAGAGTTCAAAGACAAAAGACAAAGACTTGGATAAAGACGACAATGGCAGAGCCTAGAAAGGGCTCATGGCAAGGACGAAGGACGTCAGTCGCCACTGAAAGGCAGAGGAGACGCATAACGAAATGGAAAGACAGAGAGAGACCACACATGAAGAAAGCGATGGATTGAGACTCAAATTGCTGAATGCTAGTTTTGCTGAGGTAGGTAGGCAAAGTTCTAGAAACTCCTGACTATTCTACAACCTCCAAAGCGGTTTCCTTATGCCTTTATGTGGTTCGCCGTCAATAAGACAGGAGACTCCCAAATCCTTAGAGTCAACCAAACCAATGAAAAATGTTCCAAACCAATGCAAAACCAAGTACTGCCGTCTTTGAAGAGCCCTGAAAATCCATTCTAGTGGCACTTGCGAGGGCCACCAGCAGCGCGAGGTTGTATTCCAATCTTGGGGCTGATTCGCTCTCTCTTAATGATGGTGGTGCCAGATTCGCCAACCTCGATTGAGCCCAAAGTCTGAACGTCGTCCTCGATAGTCTCGACGACGGTGTTCCTCTGCGTGCGAGAGTTGGAAGCCGAAGGTTTCGTCACGCGGCCGCCCCGGACCGCACGAAGCGCGCCACAGTCGTTTCCCACGAGCTGCTTCATCTCCTCGATCTTCTTCCGAAGCTCTCGACCTTTCTGTGTGTTTCCCATAGCTGCAGCGATCGCTTCAAAGTCGCCAATGTTACTAACGTCAGGCTCGGCGGGAGGAGCCGGGCTGTTGATGTTGGGGATTGCATTGACGTTGGCGTGGGTGAGGGGCGCGCCGCTGGTGGTTGCAACTTCGGGAACCAAGGGGGGAGGAACGGAGGCCCGGACCTCCTCGTCATCGTACAGGGCGTGCCGGGCGTGGAAGTTGTTGCCAAAGTGAAGCATGTCGGAGTTCTGCTTGACTACGAGGTGACGGAAGATCTCGGTGGGATACTTGCCACCATTGAGGGCGACGACGGTGAGTACGTCTCGCTGGGTGAGGCGGTTGTTGTCAATGATCTTGATGAAGATCTTCTTGTAGAGAACGTTGTCTTTGAGGTTCTCGCGCCAGAAGTTGGTCTCGAGGTCCTCGAGGATGATCTCGAGCAGCTGAGAGTCGACCTTGTTGATCATATTGCGGATGAAACCCCGGGCGTCTCTGATCTGGTCCTTGAACCAGTGGTGGTTGGCCTCCAAGATGGCTTTGTCGATCCATGCCTTCGTGCCACATCTGAGAAAGAGGTCATCGAGGACGCGGTTGTATTGGCCTTCGTACTGAACGGGCAAGATTGCCTCGAGAGCAAGGAAGTCAACGAGGTCGGGACGGCGTTCGCGGTCGGGGAGGTTCTTGTCCTTCAAAGAGTTGCAGAGAGACTGGTAGAGAGTGTTGTCGGAGATGCAGCGGCGGAAAGCATTGGCTTCAATCCGGGACTTGATGCGACCAAGCAGCGCCGGAGTGTACTGAGCCTCCTGTCGAATGCTGTCTTTGGCCTCGGCAACGCGTCGAATGCGCTCATCTTCAGCGATGATCGCGGTTCCTCGGTCGCGACGGTCCATGATTGTCAGGTTGATAGAAGCTTCGATTGATTCGTAATGTTGTGAGACGAGGCTGCTGTTGGTTGAGAAACAACAGTCCCTGCTGAAAGCCGGTGTGTGTATGTGTAGAGGTTTGAGGGAGGTTTGGCAGCCGGCCGAAGTAGCTTTTATGCGCCAGAAGTTTGAAATCAATAAAAGCGGAAGGAGCTGGCGAGGTGGTTGACGCAGGTGAAAGTGAGGTTGAATGCGAAGCAACCAAGAAATCTGATCAATGTGTTTGTGTTCAAAGAGGGAATGGTCTTGCGCAGAAGGTAGCTGGACAATTGTGTTGCGTCGCGAATACCGAGCGGACGGAGAGTACGAAAGATGCCGAGCGCGTTATACGAACAGAAGCAAAAGCTCCGATGGGCAAAACTGAGAGTGATGAATGTGAAGGTTGAGGTGAATCATCAAGAGACGCGCCCGGCAGACGACAGTCGTGGAAGGACCGATCTAGGCCCAACAGACGCAGGAACGACGGGGAAGGACGCCGGCGTTGACGATAGAGTAATTGTCCGAAGATCAACCAGAGAAGGGCGTTGTTGTGGTTTACTCGAAGAGTGACTGGTTTGTTTTGGTGATGTGCTGTGTGTTGGGTTGAAGTTGTGGTGGGATGTGGAGAGAAGGATGGGTGGCGTTTTATACCACTAGGAGAACGGAAAGATAAAATCGTCCTTGGCTCCTTCCGGATTTTTCTTCCAGAAATAATTTGACGTAGAAGGTGGAATACGTCAAAGATGGATGGGAGAGGTGGGAAGGGGAGATCCAGCTGAGCGACGACGACGACGCCGGACGATCGTGGGGAGGTGCAAACGAGACGGCTGGCCACTGCAGGCACTCGCACCGAATGTCTAGCTTACTTGCGCGACGGACATGTTAGATTTACTTCGCCACTGGAAACTTGCTGTTTATGGGAGCAATAGATCATCTTTATTCCCAGAAGACAGGCTGCGCAAGTAGGCATCTGCCTAGTGCTCTCCGGCGGAACTGGTATACTGAACCGCAATAATCGGGTTGTCATACTTGAACTGCTACTTTTACGTATCAAAATCTCTTAAAAAGCAATCAACGCTTCCAAATGTATATTCAACTCGATCATCAGGTCGTCAGCTCATCAGTTGGCCATGTAGGACAAAGAACACAAATTGCCCACTGTTCCAAGTCATTTTCTTCCAGAAACAAAACACCAAGCAAGCCAAGATCCCCAAAAAGCAACTAATGCAAAAAAAAAGACCAGAAACCAAGCAAGACTCAATTTGCCAAAGGGCGGATTCCCAGAACCTTCATCCCATTCTCGAAGACTTGTCTCGCATTCTCATATAACACTGCCCTAGCAAGATCAACTTCCGGTCCACCAGGGGCTTCATTGTCTTCTTCCTCATCCTCGTCCTCGCCCTCGTCAGCGTCGAGGCACTCGATAAGTTGCTCTACAAGTCGATACAAGAACGCGAGCACGGCAGAGGGCTCCAAAGATTTATATGCGGCATTGATGACATCCGGATACTGAGCCATCAAGCGCAAGAGATTGGTGTACTCTTCCTCCTGAAGGTGGGCGTAGTCGACGTCCGCCAGAGCCGTGGGATCTCCTCCGAGTTCGTTCAACACCAAGCCGAGGCGGGTGTATGCCAGCTGGAGACCGGCGCCGGTATCGCCCTCGAACTCGGTCATCTTCTTGCTGTCGAATGAATAGCCGTTGCTACGCTTCGTGTGCATGTCTTGCGCGATCAGGGATGTGATGCCAAAGGGCTCTGCGGCGGTGGGAGGGGCTCCTTCTTGTTCGGCCATGGCGGCCCGGACAGCGGTCGCACATTGATCCAACATGTCGCCGAAGAGATGCGCGTTTCCAAGTTGTGCCGAGAGACCCTGAAGCTTTCCGAAGCCGACGTGCTGAAGCTTTTTAGCAAGGTCGACATGACCCATGAGCTCGATAGCCTTAGCGACGCGGGCGAAGTGGGCTTCCTGATCTGAAGTGACGACATAGATCATCTTGTCGAATGCATGCTTCTTGTCGAGGTCGAGAACATTGGCGATGTCTCGGAGCAAGTACATTGTTGTGCCGGTACGATTGCGCAGCACCGCGGTGCTGAGACCCTTGGCACCATGCTTCTTGAAGTCGACGATCCAAGAGCCCTCACTCTCTTCGAGGACGCCTTTGTCTTTCAGGACAGCCTCGACCTCGACGACGGACTCGGATGTGACTTGAGACTCGCCGTGGTACTCGTCGAACTTGATGCCGAGGCGCGCGTATGCCTTGGTGTAGTCCTCGATATACACATCGCGGAACTTCTTCCAGAGCGCCATCGCGTCGGCGTCGCCATCCTCCAAGCGCTTGGCAACGGCATCGCGTTCGGCGTAGATGCCTTGTGATTCGATCTCGGCCGTGCTCTTGTTGTCTGCCTTGGCTTGGTGACTAGCTTCGAGCTCAGGTTTGAAGGCTTCCATAATCTTATTGTAGACGCCGAGAAGGTGTCGGATGGGGTCCTTCTGGAATTCTTCCTCGGAGCCAAACTTCTCCCAGCCGACGGAGAGGAGGGCAACTTGCTTGCCCCAGTCGCCGAGATAGTTCAACCTGACGACATCCCATCCCATGCGCTCGTAGAGGTTGGCGATGGCAGCGCCATTGATGGTGCTTCGGAGGTGCCTGCCCTCGAATTCGCTGGCAATATTTGGAGAGGAAAATTCGACGATGACCTTTTGCCGACCGGAGTCTGGTGCTGCAGAGTCTCGAAGACCAAACGACTCATCGCCTCCATAGAGCTCTTTGCGATCGGCAATGAAGGGAAGGAGAAGTCTGGGGAGGGTGAAGGGGGAAGAGAAGATTCGGATGTGGATTCCGTCGACGAAAGGGAAAGTGTACAGGGGAGACTTGGGAAACTACGCAAATCATGTCAGCATTTTGGTTAAGCAAAGCAGAAAGAATACAAGATACCTTGTCGAGGAAACTGGCCGCAACTTCTGCATTTGCTTTAATCTTGAGTCGAGGCAGAATGATCGCCAGATCACCCATGGAAATCGTCCCCGTTGTCTGAACAGCCTCGTATGCGAGCGCGGGGTCGCATTCCGCGACTTGAGCCACTATCTGGGCTATGTATGATCGATAAATATCAAGAGGGCGTACTAGAACGTCGGCGACCGGGAAAGAAGGGAGAGGGGTGTCGAGACTCAGCCTCTCCAAAGAAGACTGAAGACCGCTAATTGAGAGAGTCGCCATGGTGTGTGATTGCGATTGTGACTTGCATCCCTTTCTGCACTGCGTATTTTGGTGCGTGAGATGAAAGGGAGAAAAGACGTTATCAGAAACGACGTGGGAATCCCGGACACCTTCTTCAACGGAGGCTGAGCTTTACCTCAGATCATACAGTGGTGTGGTCGGGCATGAAGCTTGGTACTTCTCGACGAACGCGGCATGACGAGATTGGACATGAGTGCAGCTCTCAAATCTTTTTATCTTGGCCAGCATCGAATCAAATGCATGGTGTATTCGGGTACTTTTCTTGTTCGTTGGAGAATATGAGCTAACGTGATGATAGGTCGCCTTACTTTCGCACCGAAGAAGTGCAGGTGTAAGCATGCATGTCTGCCAAAACACGTGGCAGCCCTGATGTCAGTTGCCCGAAAATTTGAGAAAAGATGAAATTGATTGCAGAGGCTCCTATTCATTTCAGTCACTCATCATATCTAAAATATATTAAAAAAACGTCAAGGTGACTATTTCAGAATAGTCCAGCTCCACGAGGATGCCTCGAAAATGTTCAGGAGGAATCATCATCTCAGCTGACCTTTGCTCCGGCTTCTCATGCTACCACAACCGTGGTGGACTGCGAAGTTACTTGGGCACCCCATTGATTAGTTCAGTGGTGGCTATGGCTCCAGGCTCTATTCTAGAGGCAGTAATCGTGGTAAAGAGTATCACACAAAGGACATTTGCGTTCATAACTGTGTCGGTTCATCGTCATGAGAGCACACACAGAGTTCTTCCAAGACCGTTTGAGCCCTGCAATGTCATCGTAGCCAGAAAATGGCGGCTGTACCGACAGACAGTTGCGACATCTGTGGCCCCGGGCTTTGAGAAGTCTTCGTATCCATCGGAAGGGGAAAATGAAGCGTATCATTGTGGCTCATAAGATATACCGATGCCCATGAGTTGGGGCTTTATTCCAAATCTTGTTCATCATGGATTCAACCAGACTATGCTCAGTTAGATGTGTGACGCTTCTGCACATGATGATTTACACCGGTCTCCTCAATGGCGTGCCGTCCAGAGTGAGGAAGTAATTGATCTCCGTCGCCATCAAGAGTTCTCCTACCCAACTGTATTCAATTTGATGAGCATGGGACACCATCAAATGCACCAGATTTTGTCATTTCTGGTGGTACAAAAATCATCTTTGTTGCGTCATATGATGTTGGTCGCATCAATCTGATCTTCTCCTCGTGCTCTTTGGCCTATTAAGCATCGGTATCCTGGCGCTTTCACAGCACAAAATGAAAGTAATATCTAGATGTTCTTGAATTCTAATCGATATTGTTTTGTGCTGCAACTTGCTCATGATAAATCTGCACAGTCTGGTCTCCAGAACCCACGAAGATAAGGACGTGAACACCATTCCGACCCAATCGCGTCCATTGTTCCTCAACACAGCACGACATTGGGAATGAGGCCCTCAAAGAGCTCAAAAAGACTACTCTGAAATTCAATTTCTCATCTCGCTGACATGTAGGGTAATGACTGGAATATTCGATAATTTCTTGATACTAGGTTTCGCCTGGGATACTATAGTCTATCCGGCCATCTCCATTGACTCATTTGATTGTACCCTGTTGATGCAACTTATATGACATACAGATAGACTCGATCTTGTTAGTATTCGAAGTGCGATGTGCAAATAGCACCATTGATATGAACTTTTTCGACGGTCAAAGAGATTTTCGTGATACATGTCTGGCTCTAGAGTCATCAATGCTTAGTAGACTGCCGGCGCGGACGCCTTATGCCTCTTAGAGGATTAAAGCAGGCGTTAAATACTACAACAACAACAACAACAACATAGAGTCATCAATAAATGTATTGGGCCATTTTTTCCGTGTCAGATGCAAAAGGTAAGCAGAAACCCAGTAAGAACATGTTCGCATTCGAGAACGACACTTTTTCTTTGAGCTTATTCAGCTGCCTCGAAGCTGAGATTCTGACAGAGGGAGATCGAAGTCGCGGTTGGCCATGCACATCCTCCCTTGCGACCTCGCGTCGAGAATGGTCGCCATCTTGCCTCCCTGCACCTTCAATTAGACGAGCAAGGCGACAGACCATTCTCGATATCTTTTTGAGGCCTGGTGCTCCTCAATTTCGAAAAGAACAGAATGCGTCGTTTTCCTCTAACGTGTTTTGATGTTCGGATCATGATCGAAGCTGTCCAGTATGTTCGAAATTCGACAGAACATGAGTCTTCCCAGTCATCAAAGATTGTCTGTCTCTCAAGGAATTTATTCCGCCGACGAAAAGAACGTCCGGATTGATGTTCGCTTCGTAATCTGACTGCATCTCGTCTAATAATACTCGATGTAAATCGATGAGAAGATGAAGCCTGGACATGTTTAACGTCTTTTACTCTCCAATTCGAACGGCAGTAGTGATGGTACCTAATAAAAGCTGTGACGGCGATTGTCGTACTGCATTGTATTGAGCAGTGAATCGCAATTTAGACTTGTGTTTTGTCCACTCTGCAACGAGAACATCTGGCGTAGCTGCAATTCGGGCATGGATCTACCATAACGTGCATCCCTCCATGGCCACAAAAACACTACAATTGGTCAGAAACAACAGGTAACAGAACTCGAAATTGCCCCAATACGCAGATATAGGCACTTACGCAGGTCCACACGAAGGCGTACTTCTTGCGGGGGGGCTGTGGGTGAACAGCATCGTCAGCCCATGGATGATACGTCGCAGGAGCAAGGGATAGTTAGTTTGGCTTCAATAGTAGACACTCATACCATTTTTTCTTCGAAGGGTAGGCACAGCCTTTGTGGAAAAGCTGCACAGCAGCCCGTTTGGTTTATTGCGTGGCTTACGCTTCGCGCAGCTCTGCTGCACGGCAGCTTCGGTCGAAGGCCACGCCGTTGAAGCCCAAGGGCGGGCGGATGATGAGGTTGTGAGCAGGAAAGGGCTTAAGATCGATAGAAGAGTATCGCACGGAAAGAATTCAGCCTGTTGATGAGGCGAATCAGTTGGAAGGTTCAGTTTTAATGTGATTGAGGGAAATTTTGGTTTTGTGTAATTGTCGAGGATGCTAATATATTAGTGACGTTCTCTGTTGGCGTGTTAGGTCTCAGCCTCTGCACCGTCCGTCTCACCGCAACTCCTGCTTGTTAAATATATAGAGCAACCAAGGTTTTCCGCGGTCTTCTCGATTAATTAAGTATTACATCTCGTTCTGTGTGGTTCGGCTTGATTCATGAGGAGGTATTCATTCTTATGGCTCTGCTAACTGAGGTCAATTTCAAGGAGACGGTTGGCCGCAGAAAATCTGAATTTTGCAGTCCGGGATGTGTACCAGATCCACCTCTATCACGCCGAACCGCGCACATCACTCAACTCCCCAAGATGTCCCGTTGTACCTTCGATGCTTTACATTGGATTTTGGTACGCTCGTGGTTGGTGAAGCTATACTAAACACTTAGCAGGCGCCGGACACACAATAGCAAACGATCACGCACTGACCCGGTGTATCACTTGCCGATGCTGCCCCGAACAAGCCAAGCCACTTGCCCCAGGGCATCAAATGTCCGAGGATGGACAAACGCGACCGCGCGTACCTTATCACCACAATTCACCATCGTATAAATATAGGAGGGGAATTAGACGCGTCCTGGCGACGCGGCATCGAGAGCAGCGAGAATACTGGCAATTTGGGCAAGGATCCAGTGCAACGGACATTCCCGATTGGCCGCAATAACACTGGCACAGTCAGTCTCAATGGCTAAGCAGCGAAGAGCTCCGTTGGTCAAGTTGGCTCGAAGAACACTTACGCACGTCCATATGAACGCGAACTTTTTGCGCGAAGGAGGCTGTTTAGGACAAGAAAATTAGTCACATGTTTAAAATCTTCATGCCAAACGGTACGACTCACCATGGTTAATTGATCGCGAGGCGCCAATCCAATCAATTCCCTACAGCTTGGCTTGTGGGTCTGATGAGCGCAACATTCAGCATCTTAAGGGCCTAAGACGGTTTGTGACAGGAGTTGCTTGTAACAATGGTGTGTCTGGCACGCAAGACGATTCAATGTTTAGGAGTAGCTGGCAGAAAAAGCGATTTACGCAAAATACTTGCGGCTACAGCTCATCTGGTATTAATTGTCGTTCCGGTTCCGCGGCAAGGGAGTGAAAAAAAAAAAAAACTGCCGCTTTTGGTAGGCTTATGTGGTAAGAGAAGCAGACATAAAGCGGCAGCTTATTTTTTTCACCCGAATGCGCAGGAAACGCGGCACTTAGGGAAGTCGCGTCTTTTGTACAAGGCCTGGGCGCGTGTAGAGTGGTGTGGCGCCTGTTTCCGAGACCATAATTTCGATTGTTGGAATTGTTGTTGTTGTTGTTGTTGTTGTTATCGTTTAAAGCCGGCCTATCCTCAAGAATGCAGCGTGTTGATAGAATTTTGAAAAACTTTGGAATGCTGCCGAGAATAGCTAGTTCCAGAGGGCTGTCCGGAGCGAGCTTCTACCACGTAATTAAGTGCATATTTTACGAGGGATCGGAATGACACACGGATGTGTTGAACGGCCGTAAAGTGCGCAAGTAATAGTGGGGCCGCACCTGCCTCGGTTGCCCGGACCCGAAAGGCCCCGGAGCCGCTCCAGTAGTTGTTGCTGTTGTAGTATTCAATGCCTGCTGTAAACCTCAATGAGGTATGGCGTCCGCGCCGGCAGTCTACTAAGGATTCGTATCTACATACAATGATAGAGAGCAAATCCGCTGAAGGCCTTCGGCGTCCACAGTCTCTGATCAAGACCTGTTGAACTCGCCCGTGCTTTCACACAGATATAGCCCTTGAGAAGCAGGTCGTGTCCTGAGAAACGGGTCGGGTATTGTTGTCAAAGAGCAGCTTTTAGTGGAGGTAGAATGTGATACAGCAACTTAGATATCCATGGATGATGGATGGGGAAAAGGCGAGCTCATTATTCCTTCTAATGTCATTGCAGGATAAGGGTACCTACA